TTTTTCTTCTCTGGAAGTACTCAAATATACCTGTTTACATAAAAATTCAAGAACATCGCAATTCCATAAAGCCTATGTTCCAAGACCTGGAGTTTAAGGAGAAAAATGTTAATAGGAATTGAAAGTACAAAGTCTCTATTTTGATGTTTAAAATGGAACATAAAGTGTTAATCAATAAATTTGCATATCTACAGGGCCGTTTTAGGCATAAAGTGAACCGAGCTCTTTTCCTATCATCAAATTCATAGGTCTTTAATAATATTTATTTACGAATGTGTCACAAGGGCAGATGAACAGACTCTCTAAGTTCTCGCGAGATCTCGCGTAATCTATGAAACGTTACCGGTGATGAAACGTTTCCGGAATAATTGTGACGTCATTTTACATTGCTATAATTTTAATGAAATAAACAAAAAACGATATAAAATAACAATTTTTAAAACAGATAACCTTTATCTTTAAATTTATTTTGGAAATATTCATTAAAGGTAACTTGCCTAGTATAGTATGCATCACCCAAACATATATTTACATGTAAAAATCAGGCATGTATGACAATGTGAAGGCTAATAAATAATTTAAGCATTGGCGGGGGGGGGGGTGGCAGCACGTCTATATTTTTCATTTTGAGGAACATAAATATAATACATGAATGAATTAATTAAATATACTAATTAATAAATAGGTAAATAAAATTTACAATGGGTGCTAAAAAAAAATAGATTACTTAGCTATAGATGGTGTAAATTATTTTTTTAATACATTGTAGACTAAATTATTTCCCCAGGCGTATGCCTGTACAGAGCCATTGTTAACACCATTGTTTTCTAAACATGTATAGAATTAGTTAAATAATATATAAACCAAATAACATTGGGGGCACGCTCGGGTCTTTGCCTCTCATAGCTTCTGTGGTTATGAAGGATTATTATGCGTGTATAAAATATAAGATAGCTAGGTTCATTTAAGGTCTTTATAAAAACATGTAACCCGCACTCACACATTTGGAGAGGGGGTCAAATAAATTGAATAATGCCTAATGCTAAATGCCGAAAAAATGTGTCGCCTGACCATTTCCACAATCGCTCATTTAATGTGTAAATGCATCTCTATTGTTAAAAAAAACGACAGAAAACATGAATAAGGAATTCTGATCTAAAATGTTCTATTATTCATCTTAACTTTAACAGCTTTAGTACCGTCGCTCTCTGCTTGGAAAAATTCGGACATATAAAGAAGGGGCTGCATGGTTTCGACCATTAATATGTAAAAGAAATTATCAAGAATACATGAAGGAGTGAAATCAGATATCAATTTTAAAGCGGACTTAATTCCCAAAGTGAACGACAAAAAAGGTGCGGCGGCATAAATTAAAGTTTGTTTTTTTTTAAATTTTTTTTTTACAACGCTTAGAAAAAAATTTCCATTTCGACGTTAGAGATTGTGCGACAAATTAATTTTCAAAAAGATCATTTTGTAAAATATCGGATATCATTATAATTCTAAAGCAAGGAAAAACATAATATACAAGAAATAATACCCTCCTGAGCGATCCCCCCCCCCCCCCCCCCCAAAAAAAAACTGCAAACATAAAAATATGTAATCAATCAAAACAAACTGAATAAATAAAAAAGAAATGAGATGTAACTCGAAAGATTTGACAACGCTTGTATAATCAGATTCTTTAGGTTATGTCTTATCCTGGTCAATTATATCTACTGGTGTATCTTTTTTAGCTATATAATTTAGGATATTTGAATGAAAAAAATAATTCAATCTTATTAGAATGAAAATAATTATACTGACCAGGGCTAAATTTTCAGCAATTTTGTACACAACATACAAGGTCAAATGATCCAGCAAATGAAGAATATATATTTTTTTTCTAATGAGCATGATCCAAATTGACTTACACTCTCTCATCTCAATACAGGGTCCCTACCAATTTTAAAATGGGTAATAAAACCTGATTGTCTTCTATAAATGTCTTATTAATGCATCTTCTAATTATTTGATCTACCAGGTAATAGGTTTTATTGCTGGTCACTGGGGTCTTGCTATGAAACACAAAGATGTAGTAAGTTACCCCAACTCCCTTTACCTATGATGGATATACAAAAAGTGTGTGTGTGTATTGGGGGGGGGGGGGTCAAATGAGGTTTTGTCCCTTGCTATGATGGTGCCCTTTAATGATCAGCCTGACTATCAATTTGTTTGTATATTATAACTTCTACAGACCAGAATACATACACCTTTTCTCCTTTGAGTGTACAAAGTTCTCATGGGATGATTGGTTAAGATTTGAAGTGACCTTAAACAAAGTTTGTGTCAGAGGTCAAGGTCACAGCAAATATCTTTACAATTTAAAAATATTTTTTTCTCATCTTAGCCCAGTCTCATCATACTTCTTTCAAGACATGGGATCAGGAAGAGGTGGAAGTCAAAGCAGACCTTTGTGTAAATTCCTTGAAAAAAAAAAACTCCTTTCTCTAATTTAGATGATACCTCTAGACTCTAAGTTACATTATAAGATATAAAAGAGCAATTTCTAAAATGGTGTAATTATGTTCCCCAAACGAAGTTGGGGAACATATTGTTTTTACTCTGTTTCTTCTTATTATTATTATTTTTCTTCTTCCTGGGAAAATCTTTTCCGCGAGTGATCTTGTAAACTACACATCCGACTTAGGTGAAACCTTTTTAGGGTCAGTAGGCATGTTATGTAGATTTGCGGAACGAAGGTCATTTTGCGCGCACGTGCTTGCAAGAGCGCGCACGTGCAACACGTGAAATGACCAATATAATGGATATAGCCATAACTTTTCTATTTTTTGATGAAATGTTTTGAATCTCATAACGTAAGGATATATTAGTAGTTTAGACAATATGACATGGTCAAAATAGCAAGATCTCACGCACATGCACATGCGCTTCGCTCTGATCGGCTGAAACTAAAGTCTCAATAGCTTTCTTCTTTTAGGTCATAATCGATTGAAATTTTGAACTTAGACACACATTATGAAGATCTACAGCATGATATATAAGAATTTTCATAAAAGCACATGCATGCACGTGTGCTGGCAAGAGCGCGCACGTGCAACATCTGAAATTACCAATACAATGGATGAAGCCGTAACTTTTCTATTTCTTGGTGGAATTTTTTGAAACTCACAATGCATGGATATATTAGTAGTATAGAGAAGATGACATGGTCAAAATAGCAAGATCTTACGCGTAAGCACGTGCGCTTCGCTCTGATCGGCTGAAACGTAAGTCTCAATATCTTTCTTGTTTTACGTCTTAATTCTTTGAAATTTTGAATATAGTCATACATTATGAAGATCTAGAGCATGATATATAAGAAATATCAAGAAAGCATGTAAATCCACGTGTGCTGCAATCTGATTGGCTTAAACTTTGAATGCCTATATCTTTCTTGTTTCTCAACAAAACAGGATGAAATTTAGAATATAAATAGGTATAATGGATTTTTACATGATACCACGATCAAAATTGAATGCAAGGACGTGCTAACATGCACTTGCGCACGCGCAATACGTAAAATGAACAATATAATTGAAAAACGGTAACATTTAAATTTTTATGACTTTTTATTGATTTTTGGAATAAAAAGATATGTTCATGGTTTAGACAACATGCCACGATCACCTTGCATGTGCATGCACGTGCGTTTGTGTGCAATGCGTTAAATGACAAAAAGTCAATATCATTGTAGCTTTTAAAATTCGTTCATGAAATCCTGTGATATTGAGGATATTAAAAAAGTTTTAAAGGAAATTGGCAAAAAAGGGAGTTGGGGAGCGTTTGGGTAACATCTGTAACGGTCCCCGTTACAATTAGAACTAGTTTCTTATAAAATAAGTTTATGAAACATAAATATTAATTAACATTGACATTTGAAATCGTCAAGTCATCAAATGCTGATGGACATTTTTCATATTAATTGTTAGGCTATTATCTACACACTGAATTGTCCATAGATTAATTTACATGTATTCCCCTATTTCATGACAAAGAGCACAGGCTGGAAGTGACCAGTTGACAAGGGATATTCACTCCTCCGTGGCACCTGATCCCACTTCTGATGTTCTAAAGTTCCATGTTTGTCCTGATTTGAATTGTTTTGATGGACATTTAAGCTTGAATACTCTTCATTATCTCCATGCATATATTTGATTTTGAATTAATACCTGCTGTGACCTTGAACTACATGTATTTACAAAGTTTCTAGCTTAAAGAGTAATCATTCCTCTGATAAAAAGGTCAGAATTCAAGGTCAATGCAGACATTCATGTTGTTTGTCTGGAATATATGTACCAGTACATGTTCTTGAGCCACTTTTGCTCACGTTTATTGCCCCTCACCTCACACCTTGGGTGAGTGGTATGCATTGTTTGAATCAAGTGAAAGGTGGGATTTTTTTTTGTAAATGTCTTGTAAAGGGTATTTATTACTCCTTTAGTCCAATTCCATCACCCATACTGTATCATTGACAGAATTATATTTGCAAAATCTTTGATATTATTACCTCTCTATTATAACATACATTTCCTTTTCAAAGGAGCATGCAGATATTTTGATTGTTACTAAGATTATCGTAAAAAAAAGTAAGACTAGCTACTTTTACTAGATTTATTAAAAACTTTTGAAAATATAAATAAGATTTAAGATGGCAATTGCTATTTAGTGCATTGACAAATATACAAAAAATAAAACAACACAAATTAAAACAAAAGATGTATGTGGTACACTTATGCACCTTCCCCCTTGAACAAGAAGCATAATTCTGTCTAAAATTGTTCGATCATACTCCAAAACAAAATCTGACCAAGATATATTTAATTAATTTTATTTCAGTTCATGCAACCTCTAAGAGGAAATGAATGGTAACTGTTTGTGGACCCACAGACAGCAACAAAGCAATATGCCCTACCTTCTTCGAGGGGCATTATTAAATTGTACACAAAAACATGCTGGTGATAAAAAATATATATAGATAAAATGTAGCTACTTGTTCATCTTTTTGTAACACGAATGAACATCTTTATGCATAATATTATGTTACAATCACACCCAGATCATCATTATTATCATTTCACTCAAGGTTTGCTGTTTGGTTTGAACTTTATAGTCTTGTCCACTAGGAGATAAGTCCTGGATATTGACTAAACCCTGGTGATATACTGTTATTGTTGATGAATTCCTCTCCAAAAATTGCATAAATTAATGCAGTGGTCACTAAAAAAAATTACAAACATATTTATTGTATTTCTCCTTTCAAAGCTATGAATTATGTATTCAAATACATGCATGTATAATTACAATTGGTGAAATGAACAAATGCTCAAATATGAGAATTACTTGGTGAAAAATGCTGTCTTACACAATTTCCTACAAATCGTTAAAAATGGACTACTCCCCATGCATTTTATAGTCAAGTAAACTAATCCCTGCTTCAAAATGTAGTTCCCAGTTATAAGTAATTCTCTAGATTTTGCTTTTGCATTGGTGTGATATGTGAAAGGATTAATCCCAGTTTGTTAATTCAGTGAGCTAATCCCTGCTTTAAAATCACACTCTCTGAATCCTCTAAATCTTATGTTTGTATCATATAATACATGTACATATACGGTATAATAAAATAGTTAAAAAGTATATCAGTGAGGGAGTTAGCAAGATTCCAGTTCCCCTCGACCAGAACCATTTCCCTTGGCTTTGCCGAGGAAAATATCTCTTGGTGAACTGGAATCTTGCTAACTCCCTAACTGATATACTTTAACTGTATACATGTAATATAAACTCAATTACTAAGAATCAAACAAAATTTTGTTATAATTGAGATTTGAAGATGACTGAATTCTTATTAATTTCTTGAATCATATGCATTATCAGGCGCGTAGCATCGTTTTTGGAAGTGGGGGGGCCAACCTGAGAAATTTTTTTTTACTTACCTGAAAAAGTTGACAAGCAAAAAAAAAAAAAAAAAAAAAAAAAAAGGAAAACAAGGGAAAATTAAAAGTTGCCCGAAGTCGAAAATCCTACCATCTTTCAATTCAAACTTTTCGGGTAAATTTTCTTTATTTAACACCCTTTGCTGAAATGTAGGGGGCCAACCTTCAATACAGTTAACATTTTCTATAGTAAAGGTAATGTAGGGAGAAAAAGTGGGGGGGGGGGGCCTGGCCCCCCCTGATACTACGCCCCTGCATTATAATATTCTTGGTCCACTATTTATCTTCTAAACACAAGATTGATTTAAAGACTCAGTCTTGGCTATTAATTTGAGAAAACAATTTTTATACAAGGCATATAGGCGTCAGAAGCAGATTGAAAGTGGGGGAGGGGTAATTGAAAGTGGGGGGAGGGATAAACCAACAAAGAAAGGTAAAGCCCAATTTTCAATGCCTACATTATGTGTATATTTGTACAAAAAAAGTTGGGGGGTTAAGCCCCCCTCCCCCTACCCTGTTTCCGACGCCTATGAGGTATAAGATCAACTTGTGACAACTATCAAAGGGTGCAACCTGAACAATTGCACAAGGTCAAGGTCACTAGGCTTAAAAAGTACAATTCTTGTCCATAACTTAATTTTGTAATAAAATGAATATTTATGAATTAATAATATTATAGTTGCCTTTAGCAGTGAAAATGCTCATAATATATATAATGACATGACTGAGGTCTGAACACAGACAATGTCAAGATTTAGACAATGTCAAGGTCAGAGTTGTCTTGTTTTATCATTACACTGCTATAAAAGAGTGTAATAAAACTTAATTGTCACAGTGGTTGATTTTCTACAGTTACCCCCTCAAATCTATGTGACAGACCCACTAAGTAAAGGGTTCCTTGTGAGAATTTAGGTCCAAGAATTGTGTTGAATTCTATCGGTCTTAAAATTTAAAAAAAAAATAATTAAAAAGAGAAAACTTTATATTTCAGGAGCATAAGCATAATCAACAAAGGCTGCTAAATATCTCAGCCAGAGCAAGAGGAGAAGTCTGTGAAAGTATAATAATTCCATGACATATGATTTTAATGTATATTATTTGTTTTATATTCAACAAAATATTGCTCAAAAGCATCTGTCAACATGGTAATGTATTCAGCAGTTTACACTCCACGATTCGGGCTAGGGGAATTTGTAGAAAACTAGCTGATTTAACAATATCATGATTTAGACAAAGTTTGGTGACTTTAAAGCAGTGGGCATCACAAACACTTGCCTGATGCCCAAACATTTGTAAAAATTGAATGCAGGTCATACTAGCACAATTGATATAGTAGGATTTTCAGTTGTGTTTATCCATTTCCATCACAGTAATTGTCTAAAAAGAATTTATTCCTTTTTGAATTTATATTTTTACTCATTGTCTCTCTGTCCATGCTTGTTTATTTATATAAATCTGTCCCAAAAAAAATTAACAAAAGTTCAAATAAGGACTACCTCTAAGTTTAAGAAGTATACTCTCAAATACTCACAAATGGACCCGAGCATTTAATTAATTGGTAGGCAGTTACCTATCATGTATGACCCATTTATATGTACAAAAACTTCAGAAGACAGCTCTATAGTGTTCTGCATCAATGTAGTCGTGTAAAATAATTGTACATGTATATATATAGTCAAAAATTTAATAAGAAAATTATATAACAGGGAGTTCACAGAAATTTAATTTCTGCAATAAATGTTTTAAAGTATGGCTTTACAATTAAGCCCAGTGGGGCTTTATTATTAGCTATTATGTTCAATTTCTAGATTTTTTTCTTACCTATACATTCCGTTTTGTAGGTAAAACTTTTTCCTTTGGAAAAAATATAAGATAGGATAAGATATCATAAGATTTATTAATATCAATTTGGGGTACATTAGGGCATATATATATATGATATATATAAGTAATGAAAAAACATACAAGAAGAAATTGAAAATTAATAGTAGCAACTAAAAAAAAGATTATAATGATGGTACAGTAGAAAAGGTATTTTGTAGAATCTGATGGGCAACAGTCACTTTCAAGAAATAGCTTATTTTAATAAATATTTGCAAACTCTATACATCTTTTTTGCAAAGATAGACATAATCAAGGCATTGAATATTGAGGCGTAGGGTTAACACCCTGGCCCTCACCCCTCACTTTCAACATGCACGGGTTGCAGTGTATTCAAAGAAAGATAAGTGGTAGGGCTATGAAAATACATGTATGATACTCAAAGATATTTGATCCTACCCCTACCCCCCCCCCCCTCTCCCCCAAACAAATTATAATCTGATGATGATAAAAGGTGTAATTATCGTGTACTTTTCGTAACATATAACAATAGTATTCTATTGGATACTTACATGTACATAGATGATAAATGTCCAAGGCCTATGCTCATCTTTCATCATTGAGAAATCACGATGTATGACGTCAGATAAGTGAAAGTGAAAGTTGATTTTCATAGTTCTCTTTTATTAACCATTTCAAAAATGTTACAAAAATATCAAACAGATAATTTTAAAGAGGAATAAATAAAAAACAGTAAAATTAAATAAAAAGGGGTCATTTTATAATTTACTTTTTGCCGCTTACGATACTCTTTTTTCCGGAAAAATGTTGTTTAACGGTAGTTTTCGTTGACTATTTCTGCGTCACTTCCTGTCTGTTCATCTGCCCTTGTGACACATTCTTTATTTACACAGTCTCTCTTAAGTGACAGAAAGCGATTTCTTTTATCCCTTGAGCTCGAAGAAAGGACTGGAGAGGTTGATTCAGTTGTACATCATCATTATCTTCATCAAAATCATCATCATCATCATCATCATCATCATCATCAGGTTTGATATGTGAACGTACTTCTTTGCTCTAGTCCACCACAGTTTTTCTGTAGAATGAGATTGATAAATACTGGTATTATGACGTCATAGTGCATTGTGACTTGTTCTTTACGTACTGATGTCATCTATTATGACGTTTGGTTTAATCTACATCACAATATACTGTGACGTACGTTTTCCATTATACCACCATGGCTACTTGTCAACCACTGCCGTCTTTGTTAATTCCAGGATTCAAACTACCCCTAAATGAATTAGATAGATGCAGGCTCGATAAATTGACAGTCGAGACCCTATCTACAGAAGTTCATGTCAATTCAAAATCCTTCCAAAACCGATTCCCACCTATATCCCAACTACAGGTCCAATGCAATCAGAGGCGAAAATTGCCGGGAAATTTTTCAAACCTGTGGTCCTATGGAACTCCATTTCTTGTCAAACTTCTATTCAGTGGAAACTTACCTCAGGCTTTCTTTGACGAGCTGTGTTCTGCCATTCAAGATCCAGTCAAAAGAACCAAAATGCTTCAGAGGAAGGAGACGCACGTCGAAAGAGCGAGGAATCTTTATGAACCGAAAGACTCTGCAAAGCTTCGTGATGAAGGAAGACAACTGGACATGAAAATTTTAGAAGCACGTCTTCGGCAAAAGGAAAACATGCTAAATACACAATATACGAAGCAGGAACAGAATAGGCAGAAAACAGAGGCCGTTCTCCTGAAAAAAGCTGATATCATGACAAATGGCAAGAAGGCATACCTGAACAAAATTGAGATTCAAGCTGTCAAACTGAGAAATGCTCGGAAGGCAAAGACCAAACGTCCCCAGAACATCGAGGCAACAAGCACAAAAACGGCGTCCATCTTCAAACTTACTGATTCTACGAAGTGCAAAACTCCAGATTTCTCTAATAATTGTGTGAAATAATTTCATTTAATTCCGTATTTATATAGATATTAGAAGTACATGTCAAATTTTTAATAAAAAAAATAGTAATAAATTGATATCTTAATTTGTTTTTTCCGCCTTGGAAACTTTTGAATTTTGTAGAAATGAGACATGTATTTCTACATGAATTTATTATATACTGGTAGGTGAAAAATTCCAATTCTCAAACTGTCTGAGCTTCAACATTCTAAAAAGCATACTTCATAATTTATGCTTATATCTGCATATCGTAAAACTTTCCATTTTTTCCTTCTTTCGCCGAAAGAGTATATTTATCACTAATCGATATGGGTCTCTCTGTCTGTCTGTCTGTCCGTCCGTCCGTCTGCCTCTCTGTAACTCTATACCTCGAGAAACCTTTTTAGCTTTTGCACTGAAATGCTATACCAGAAATATTAATTCCCGATGGACTGTGAAAAACCCTCGTTGATTTTTCATACATCTGGTCTTTGGGCAAATTTTTCAATTCCTGGCGATATCTCAAGACTGAATCTTTAGGGCCGTTGCAATGAAATTTTATAACATACTGGTAACTCCATATTGTCCCGCCCAACCCTCTTAAAGTGCCCCCCCCCCCGACTGACTCCCCTTCTTGGTCCACACATGCTATATTCTTTTTCCTTAAGTGGGGGACACAGTTTCTCTGAATTAACTTTTTTTTCTACAATGATCTAAAAGTAGTAAAAACACACACACATCTCAGCCTAAAGACCTTTATGAATTCTGATGGTTACAGTTGTAAAGATGTAAATTTTGAATACCCTTCTTCTCAGAAAATTTAAATTTCCAATAAACGCATTCCAATACCGTTCTAATACCACACGAACCTCTAATGGTCCTTCACAGTTCAATAGCAGACTTATGGAATAATGTGAATATAAGAGAATACAATTGTCATGTTTTTACTCATATAAGTTAGATATGACTAGGATGATGAATAAAATAATAACATTCAAGTTCAAGAACCAATGTAATGTATGGTTGGATTGTCTATGATTTCCACTTGGCCATTGGGCCTGCAGGCCCTCCTAACCATGGCTATTGCTAGAGTTTCTGTTGGCACTCCTATATATTTAGCACAGCAGCAAATACATGGCGACATTAGGCACGCTACGAGCTTCTCGCCAAATCGGCTCTCTTGGCGGTCACAGAGCAGAAACCTGAAAAAGTAATCGATAATCTGTTGCTAAGTACTGCGCCGTTTGTTTAATTGACGAGAGGTTTAGCACACAGGAATGTTTATTGTCCAAATTTAAATGAAAAATATTCATTATTTAAAATTCAATGGAGTCAAAGAGATATACGCTGTCAAATATGCTGGTGCTTCTGGCTATTAATTTTTACATACGAGTTTGAAGGGGTAGGCGACTCAATGTTTATGACAAATAATAATGATAAGGTATGAAAAATACAGGTATCTAACAGTATTCAAGCTCAAAAGTCCATTCAAACATCACAAATCAAGAGCAGAGCAAACATGGACCCCTGATGAGGTGGGATCAAGTGCCACGGATGAGTGAGAATTTATACATTACAACCTGATATACTCACCCAGGGCGAAATATTGATAAATGTTCGAATTGTAAATTCTGAAGCTCCTCTTCTACAATCCCCTATAAAAGATTCCAACAGCATTGGTAGTGTATTCAAAATTGACATTTTCTTTTCTGTTTAAAATTTCATTTAAAGTAAACATAGCCATGATTTAACACATTGCCATAAGTAATATATAAATATGTCCTAGGAAAAGCAGCTTTTTGCTTTGTTGTATTCCCCGTACGGCCACTTATTTATATCTACCTTTGTCTGAGTGTAGAACAAACAGCTATTTTTGTCGCTTCCTTGGGACGACACGTGGAGGAAATGTTTGCATCCATTGTGTTTGGCAATCTCAGCTGTCTTCATCACATAATCGTGGTCAACTTTGTAAAACCCTTCCTAAAATTAGAAATTATCTTTTTTTTTCCTTCACCGACCTGTCATACAATCCATTACATGTACACACACTGAACGTTCAATTAAATCACAAGTAAAACTAAAAAGAAAGATGTCTTACTTTTCCACCACTTTTAGATCGAGTCGTTCCTAAACAATTAAAACCGACATCACATCCCGCGAAGACGTCGTTATATTCTTCTAATTTATCAAAGTCCACTATCTTCTCCTCCTGAAAATCAAGGTGAAGAACGGCATTATAAAAAAAGATGTGTTTCTAAAACACCAAAACCCTCGTATTACATCTCGTTGCAAAGGTTAAAGTTCCTTAAGCAAGACAAACTTAAGGGTCATGGCCATTCAAGCGATCAAAAATGTCACAAGAAACATACCATTGTCCAGTGAAATATAAAAGCCCTAGCACCAACCATTTAAAAGTTATGATCAAAAATAAAGTTCGTTGAAAGTAGGATAAGTGTCAAGGTCAAAGGGTCAAAACAGTGGGTACCCAAGGGAAATTCTTGTCTCTAGAAAAACATATGAAATATAAAAGCCCTAGCCTTACCCATTCAAAAATTATATGCGAAATTTTATAATGTGGTTCAACCTCCAAGGCGAAGGACAAACGGCAGGGGCGTAGTATCAGGGGGGCCAGGGTGGGGCAGGCCCCCCCCCCACTTTTTCTCCCGACATTATCTTTACTATAGAAAATGTTTACTGAAAGGAAGGTTGGCCCCCCCACATTTCAGCAAAGGGTAGTGTTATAAGAAAATTTACCCCAAAAAGTTTGAATTGAAAGTAAGTTGGTCTTGAAAAAAGTTAGTCACTACCCCCCCCCCCCCCCCCCCCCCCCCCCACCCCCCCACGAAATAGGATTTTCGACTTCGGGCAAATTTTGGTTTTCTTTTTTTTTTTTTTTTTTTTTTTTGTTGCTTGTCAACTTCTTCAGGTAAGTAAAAAAAAAATTTTCTCAGGTTGGCCCCCCCACTTCCAAAAACGATGCTACGCGCCTGAAAGGTCAAAATCGTTGATACCCAAGGGAAGATCTTGGCTTTAGAAGGACATATAAGGGAAATATGCAGGCCCTAATTTAAGTGACTAACCGTTCAAAGTTAGGATCGAGGTTTTTTTTTCTTTTCGGAAATTGGTCAAACTTCAAGGACAACGTCAAAGGGTAAAATTAATGGTAACCAATGGAAACAAACAGATAGACAGACGAAAGCTCAGAACAAAAACTATATGCCCCCAAATCTTTGACTACGGGAGCAAAAATTTATAAACCACGCTTGATCTCTACAAATGTCAACTATTGACGTACGAATTTTTGTCCGAGTCTGTCTGTGACACTGGTTTGCCGTCTTCCGATCAGCAGGACTCGTTCGAAGGAATCGGACAGCGACAGCGCTTTGACCACTTCCTTCCCTGTTTCTCCGGTGTAACCGACCACAAATGCCACGTGATCTTTCTTCTCGTCTGTAGTCATCTTTTAACAAATTACATTGTACAAGTGATCATCTGAATATACATTTTATGATATTTATGCCCCCCCCCCCCTCGAAGAGGGAGGGCATATTGCTTTGGTGCTGTCTGTCTGTCTGTCAGTCCGTCGGCTGGCCTGTCGGTCCATTAAGTTCCCGTTCATTTTCATCACAACCGTTGCACGTACTGAAATGAAATTTGATATGCAGATATATCAGATAAATATCTAGGTCAAGTTCTGTTTTGGATACGATCGCGCCATTTTTGACAGAGTTATGCCCTTTGGACTTAGATTGATTGATTGATTGGTTGTATACTGTTTAACGTCCCTCTCCAGAATACACTGTATTTCACTGATATGGAGACGTCACCATTGCCGGTGAAGGGCTACAAATTTAGGCCTATGCTCGGCACTTACGGCCTTTGAGCAGGGAGGGATCTTTATCGTGCCACACCTTCTGTGACACGGGGCCTCGGTTTATACGGTCTCATCCGAAGGACCGCCTCATTTAGTCGCCTTTTACGGCAAGCAAGGGGGTACTGAGGACCTATTCTAACCCGGATCCCCACGGGGCCCTTGGACTTAGAAAAATTTCATTCATTCGCAGTTTCCGTTCATTTTCTTCGCAGAGGTTGCACATACTAAAATGAAATTTAGTATATAGATTTATCAGATAAATATCCAGGTCAAACTCTGTTTTGGGTACGATCTCGCCATTTTTGACAGTGTTATGCCCTTTTGGATTAAGAAAAAATTCAGTTTGGGGGGAGGGGGGCATAAGTGTTTTACAAACATCTCTTGTTTATCTCGAAGTTTCTGACAATAATAAATTCTAAGAGTATTTGATATGTTTATCGTATCTTTAATCCCATATAAAATATGAATTAACTACCTATGTCTAATAAAACTGAATTTGTATTTTAGAGAAAGTGTCTATGTAAACCTCAAAGTCATCTCTGCGCAGAAGTTCTTTGTGGATGTATCATTTTCTTGTAAATCTATAGTCGAATCAAGCAAAATGCTGTGCATTATCTATTCCACAGATACCAAACCATCTAATTTAAATGGCAAATAATGATTAATTTTTCACAGTAGTTTGTTATTTATTTGCCTTTTGACGTGGTTTCCAATATAAACGAGTATTTTTCCCTTGAAATACATACATGTAGGTGTCAAATATATACTTATACTGACCAAAAAATTATCATTTCCTGCTACAAATTTCATGTCAACTATGTATGTTGCAAATATATTATATCCTTTAATCAATTCCTGAACATTGCGTTTTATCCCCCCCCCCCCTTTCGTAATACGATTTACGACGGTCATTCATTTGAGATTTCACCTTTACAATTCACATTCTTATTTGTCATGGACCATTATATTATCATAATTATCGACTTAGAAATCACTCACCTTAAATCTGTGGCTGTGTAACAATTCATACTGATTTTTTTGTCCTATATCATGACCCTGAATAATATGATGACCTTAAATGATATGCAAGGTATCCTTCATCAAACAAAGATATACTGAATGTTTTTTACGTTTCATTTTTAATAATGTTCGTTGTTTATGTTTACGTTTGTGTTGTTAAGGAGAAATTGTCCACGTTTGTGTGTTTATGTTTACTTATTATGACGAATTTGACCTATTTTATTAATCGGGTACAACGGTTCCTTTAAAGCTGATTAACTTCTGGCTACCTGCATAGAACGAACGACACGTACATATATCCGACATTGTCGCTATTCAAATGTGTATTTGCGTTTTTTAATACTGCACTGAAATGCAACTCGTGTTACATTTCTTTATATGTTTCACAGAATAGAGACAGTAAGGTCCGACCAACAACATGGTATGATAAACAAGACGAATCTAGTTTTTTTATTGATGTTATAATATTCATCTATCACCTGCGTTTAGAGTATTTCCCAGCTTGTTTTGGTACTGGAGACCATATACGCCACGTACGATAAAAGTTTGAAGCGAGGCAGGTTACTGACAGATAAGTTAATGTTACAGGGTTATCATCAACCTCGTTTAAAGTCAACATTTCGTAATTTTTATGGACGTTATGTTGATTTTGTTAGCAAATATAACCTGTCATTAGATAATACTTTGGCCGACATGATTCATATTATTACCTAACCTACTATATAAATTATAATTAGGCATTTTGAACTGTTTCACGGTTTACTTTATGTTTTTGCGTGATCATGAAACAGTGAACTGTTGACCGGTCCAAAGAATGAACTGTTGCCTGTTTAAAGCGTCATCGTGATATTCAAGCGTTTTGATGATCACGGAATCACTATTTACCTGCTCTATAATTAATCAAATTTAAATAAAACACGCAAACTATGAATTTATTAAGTATTACTTTAAATTAAAAATATATAATTTAATTTTTATATTACGTGTTTAGCTAATTAATAGACAAGTATGTGAATAAACAGTTGTGAAAACTTTTTATTGATTGTTTGTGTGTTTTTTATTCCAATTTAATTAAGTATATAGTAGGTTAGGTAATAAAACACTTATTCAATGACTACTCGGTAAAATAGTCAAATTGTTGTCCCTCGGTAGTGGGGGAGACTGGGAAACTGTTGCCCGAGGCCGAAGGCCGAGGGCAACAACATTCGGGACAACATTTTGACTGTTTACCTCGTAGTCATTAAATAAGTGTATACTGTTAGGCCTTTGTTTATATGTAAAATTTGACTTTGATCAATCATTTACTTGTGTATCATTTATTCAAAGAATGTTTTTCTGGGCTTCATTTTTCTAAAACTATATTATTTTATCCCTAACTCAAAGGAAATACTGGTAATGTTGTACCTCTGGACTACCTCCCATACACGTATTTTGCATTTCAAACAAATATTCGGGGTCTCCCACTTCTAAACATGGACTTTGTCATTATACTCATATGAGAATGGTAATATCATTTTGTGAACTCAGTGCTCAAAATCTCTAGTTCTGCCCTCTTATACAGGAAAATTCTGACAAAGGCTGGATAACATGATCGTATTTCATGCAGTAAAATGAACCCTAGAAAGCACTTTTCATTTGACAGTACTTGTGTAGATTCTACACCTTAAGTAGAATTTCATAAGTCAGGTTTCTTCATTCATTTATTAATGAGACAATTGGTAATGCATTAAAATAAATTGATTCACAATAACAATGGCACTGCTATTTCTTTTTTTAGAGTAAATTAATACACAGTGAAACCTGACAATTATGACAAACACCAGGCCACAAATTCTTACCCAGAAAATACACAAACATACAGAGAGTTGTAAAATGGATTCTAAATTATAAAAGAATTCACAGTTAAAAAGATTACAAAGATGTCAGACTAGACAGATTTTACTGTAGTTTGGTATAACATGACAGTATTTTTTTTCTATATTAAATATCTTTTATACATGTAATTAATTTGTATCTAACAACTAAAACTTCTCCTGAAAGAGAGCAGTACCTGAGGAAAAGTTGCTGGAATATTCAATCCATTTTCTAGTATCAGCTTCTTTAGTTAATTTAGATGTGATAAAAAAAGTACAAAATCACAAATATTTTACAACTTTCATTTAAAAAAAAAAAAACAGAATGTACATAAATAATGAACAATTCTGATGCTTTCCCCAAAAAAGCCTGAAGTTTCCATATACGAAGGTTGATCCAAAAGTAATGTCACAACTTTGATAAAAGTGCTACTAGTCGACGCAAATTATCGAAATTATATATGATCGAAGCTATATTTATTCCAAATCAGTCCTGAAAAAATTAAATTAAAATTATTTATACTTTTCAAACTATCGAATTGTATACAAACTGCAATTATGGTAGTCGCCGCACCTAAATAACGTCATATGATGGATGCACGCCGTCGTACACTTTTGAAAACGTTTCCCCTTTGTTTTATTAAATATATTTGAGATTCACAAACACATTCACATATATTTCTTTTTTTAAAAGAATTATTGGCACCCATTGTACACTTGCTCTATACATAATTTAGTTTTCTGTCAAAATTCTTTGAACAGTACCATAGGACAAACTTAAAGTTTTTCATAACATCTAACCGTCTCTCTTTTTGGACAACGTCAGACACCATTGAACGTTTCCGCCCGACTTCCCATTTTCGGTCTTTCTGTCCTCTCCTGATAGCTAAACGACCCATGACCCGCTTAAAATTACTGAAACCATCTATAATCAAGTCTCCTACTTACATTCTCTCCGCTATTTGTCTGATTAATTATCGTAACTGTTTCTTCCGTAACTTTTGGATCAACCCTCTAACAAATACTCTATAAAATGTTTAAACTTTCATCTCAAACATTTTGCATACTGCATCATACTGCATTAAAAAAGTCTAAATACCGTATAATCCCTATTAACCGACCCAGGCGCTTAGAAAATTGTAAAAAGAGGGCGGTTATTTTGGTACTCTATTTATGATATTCAATGTCATACTTTAACTTCAAAAAATCTTTTGAAAAAAAAATAAATACAAGGAACCAATAAAATAATGTCTAACTTTACTTAAAGTGAAGATAATCCACCCAAATTATGCTAAATTATTCATTTTCCATTGAAAAATTGGATAATAGATCAGTTTAATTTTCACTTTCTTCAATATTTTGATACGATTCTCATTGATTTTAATCACTGTACAGGGGGCCCTTATTTCCTGACAATTGAAAAAGACCTAAGGGGGCGCTTATAGGGGCAGGGGCGGTTAATAGGGATTATACGGTAACACAAATTCTTGGATAAGGACAAAAATTATTTAATTTGTATGAAACAGCACCACCAAATCAAATGACTCAATTACATTTGTACATATTAAATGTACAATGTTAAACCATGTAAACATGTAAGGAAACGTTTCCAGGCACCAATAAACACTGCTGTAGTGTACAGAAAAATAAGGCAAGAAATCATCACACCAACAGAAGGCTCCAATGGCTCTTTGGTCAAACTTAAAATTCAAAAAAAAAACTAGGCAGTATGCATGATGGCAACTTTGCACCTGCATGCTAACTGGCTTTTTACGTAAAACTAAGATCAAATGTAATGCTTTAATAAAATTCTAAAATTGATCTTAAATTAAATGCATACATACATTGTACATACATGAAACTATATGACTCCATTTATAACAGTCTTGCTTTTGCGTGTGACTCATAACAAGTAAATGAACAATCTTTAAAAAATTGATAATATAAAACAACTTAACTCACAGCCAAGTACGATCTGAAAATATATTTGCAATATTATATGATAAATATCAACAACTCTTAAAATTCATGTAAAACAAATGACATATCATCTAATAAATAATGTCGTATTGACTTTAAGTGTTCTATCCGCGGGCTCCCAGGCCCATAAATCCCCATGTCCTTTAGACGGCCACACAAAAATAGTGTCCGAAGCACAGGGGGAGCCAAGGGGAAGTAACTCATCATAATCATCCTTGGAGAATTCCAACATCTGTAAATGAAAAAAAAAAAAGAATAATGAAGTGTATCTCCATTATGTCAGTACACTGTATGGAGTTTCAAGATTTAGAACTTAAGATATTTGGAAAAAGATTAGTTTCCTTAGAAAGGTAAATTTAGCATCTTTTAAAAGGAAAGCTTTTATTAGAGTATAATCCTAAGGTCAAATATACATGTTAACCTTTTTACCAGAAAAAAATTAAGAATATTTTTACAAAAATAGCAAATAAACCTTTTTGAAAAGCTTTTTGCTGAATCAAATTCCAAAGTTACAGGGGATAGTCCAATACTAGGGGTAAACTTGAATGACAACTGAACTATTCAGTTAGAGTTCAATCTTTTGTCAAGGTTGATTCCCACCTGGTATTTTCGAGGTATGTCCAGTACACGATGTTTTTTCGATATTGTCGACATCGTTGTAAGAATACTAGTCCTCCTAATATCATAACATATTCAACATGACAGTAATACCTTTGTTTATATCTGTATATATTACATCGCTTACCAATATAATGTAAACATTTTGTTAACATTGCCTTCTTTTTATCTTGTTTACATCGTTCACGTCGTCGACATCGCAATGTTGGACGATATCGAGTCGACATCGTTTCAACATTGCCCTACTTATTTTTCTTGTTTACATCGTTAACATCGTCGACATTGCAATGTTGGTTGATATCGAGTGGACATCATGTCAACATTGCCTTCTTTTTATCTTTGTTTACATCGTTCACATCGTTGACATCGCAATGTTGGACGATATCGAGTCGACATCGTTTCAACATTGCCCTACTTATTTTTCTTGTTTACATCGTTAACATCGTCGACATTGCAATGTTGGTGGATATCGAGTCGACATCGTGTCAACATTGCCTTTTTTTTATCTTTGTTTACATCGTTCACATCGTCGACATCGCAATGTTGGACAATATCGAGTCGACATCGTTTCAACATTGCCCTACTTATTTTTCTTGTTTACATCGTTAACATCGTCGACATTGCAATGTTGGTGGATATCGAGTCGACATCGTGTTAACATTGCCTTCTTTTTATCTTGTTTACATCGTTCACATCGTCGACATCGCAATGTTGGTGATATCGAGTCGACATCTTGTCAACATTGCCTGTTTTTTATCTTGTTTACATCGTTAACACCGTCGACATTGCAATGTTGGTCGATATCGAGTCGACATCGTGTCAACATTGCCTTCTATTTATCTTGTTTACATCGTTAACATCGTCGACATCGCAATGTTGGTCGATATCGTGTCGACATCTTGTCAACATTGCCTTCTTTTTTTCAAAATCTTATTTACATTGTTCACATCATTGTTATCGCTTTGTTGGTCGATAACTGAATTAATGTTGTGTGAATATTAAATTCTTATTATATGTTTTTCTTTATATACTTAGTAGTTGTGTTCGCCTATATTGAGTCGTCAGCATGTCAAGATTGATTTTCATTTTTGGCCTATTTATCTTGGTAAAATCATACAACGTGATGTCGACGTTGACGATGTCGTCATGTAGAAATGATAACAATTTAGACGATGTAAACGCGATATCGTATCAACATTGTTTACATTGCGATGTCGACAATGTCGTCATGTAGAAATAATAACAATGTTGACAATGTAAACACGATATCGTATCAACATTGTCAACACTGCGATGTCGACAATATCGAATTGATTAAGTGAACTGGACATGAATACATATTTTAAAATAAAAGGATTGTGGCCACTCACCTGAAATGCCCTGTAATCCATATATGTCTGGAAAAGTATTATACAGAGTATCAAAAGGCAAGAGACAACTCGAAGTACAGCACACTCATAATCCCAATCTCTACAAAGAAATAGAATACTACTGATACATGTATAGTAAATATACATCTACATGTATTTTAGCACTCTTTATACTGTGGATATACATGAAGGTCTTATGAAAGCGATGGAGTTGTATCAAGTGGATAAATGTATGCAGGATATATCTAGAATAAACATGTGATAAAAACCCTTTTCACTGTTCAAAAGAATAATTTCAGCTCAAAACAGACAATTTCCTAAGAAATTACTCTTTAACCAAAATATCTTTAGTAAATCATCTTTGTTGATACTAAAGTCTTTAGCAAACCTGAAAATAAAACTCTCCACTGAATTCTACATTCTATTTTACACTTGAATATAAGTGTGTTAAGGAAGCTCTAATCACTAACAGAAACTGTTTTTTGGACTCTGAGAAAAATATATCATATAAAGATATGTATATTGAGACTTTTTCATTCATTTAGAACATAGGGTACGTGTCTTATTTGCACAGTAAAAATGTTCAAAGACAATGGACAATTTGTGAGCAGAAATAACTGTTGTTTATATACTTACATTTGGAAAATTAATGAAAATAATTAATAACATTTCTTACTCTTGGTATTATATAATGCTAAAAATATTTTAATCTATTACAAATCATGTAATTAACTGTAATTGTCGCATATCTGCGGTGATTTTCTTTGATCTTTCTGTGGTGATATATCCCATATCACATATGCGATAATACTTTCCACGCCCCTTCATATATATCACTGTAGGAGGCAGAAATCAGGTCAAATTTTTTTTATTGAATTTTTACACTCTGAATGAAATTTTTAAAAGTCATCAGACATGCGACAAGTTGCTTACGTCATAGATTGCCTCGTACTATTGGTTATATCGTTTTCATGGGGCACTCGGTATCTATGATGTAACAGTTTCTTTAATCTTACATCTAAGGGCAGATCACTCTAACTGCAGAAAACTATCCTAGAAAAATAGAGTTCTTTAGTGTGCAGTGTTTAGAGCCTCCTTAATTATCCTGACTGGGTTCTTTTCAACACTAAGAATAACAGAAGGCCAGTGGGCCAGGTTGCTCACCTGAGCACTTTGAATAGGAAAAACCAGAAATCAGTTCAATATTGAATCCCAACTCCTGGGAGTCATAATTTGCATACTTTTATATTTCAAATGTGTATTCCATTTAACCTGACCTTTTTAGGGTACTTAAAAAGTACCTTTTGATCTTGACCTTGGAGTTCCTTATACTTATGAAAGACTGTAACCTTGACAAATTAGATGTTAATTGCCAAGGTTAAAGTCTTTCATATAATAACTACTGGGTTGGTGCTTATAATTCAAATACATGTATTACATGTGTTTTTTCTTGTGACAAGACTTCTTTTGGTGCCAAAATTTTAAACTTTTAACCTTGACCTTTGGGATTGACTTTCACTTATTAAAAACATTAACCTTGCCTACAATTAATTTTGGAACAGTTGACATTAGGGCTTTCATATTTCACTTATACATTGATTCTGTTTAAAATATCTTCCCTTTCATATCAAAAATTTTTAACTCATGGCCTTGACCTTGGAGTATGACCTGTTTGCAAAACTTACATCTTTAATTTTATGAATGGTTGAGATTGGGGCTAATTTACTTGCATATTCCACTATCTCTTTAGAGAAACCCTTTCTTTGAGCAAAACATTTCTGAACTCTTGTACTTGACCTTGCACTTTGACCTTATTTGAAAAATGTTGACCTCAACCTTCACTTGCCATATAGTGACATGAGTGTTTCAAAAATTAACGCATCTTGTTTAAAATGCATGATCCATGATTCACACATTTTAGTTATTTATGTATACTTTACTAAAAATAAAATATATGCGACACCTTTTTTTAAATTAACTATAGTTAATAATCAACGACTAATATGCCTTGGGATGAATGCACTCCGTCGAAAATGACGCGAAATATGAGGATTTCAACTCATTACGTCACAGATTTTGGCAAGCTTCTCCAGGCACGGTCGGTTGCAACACGTTCATGTTCAGTTGCCAACATGACAAGTTTTGATGGGAAAACATTACTTACAGGTCAGTCTATTAATTAAATTGGATAATAAATATCATTTTCTCGACCTCGTCATATTAACTTGACAGCTGTGACCTTTAACTCAACAGTTTACTTTCGTTAACGCCTTTAAATAAACAGAGATAAAAACATACTTCGGATTCACATTTGTCTGTTTGACTTGGGATTTTCCCGGTAAATTATCCTGACAGTTTTCATCTCCATTAGACTGAGAATCGTCGTCACTGTCTGCACAACTGTCGGCCATTAAAAACTGAATATTATTTATCGCCCTTTACAAACGAAATTCTCGGTGTTCTTCTGGAGTTTTCATTCAGTGAAAGGTCGATCGCGATAAACGCTGTTCCTTGTCGGATAGCAACAAAGATGTCTGCAAGTGGGGATACAAATATTTCGCGTGTGCTTAATAAAGAGCAGAATGGAGTTATTCAAGCCACCTTAACAGGTACTTTTAAAAGAGAGGTGTTGATGTATTTGGAGTGTTTTAGTAAAAACACTGAAAGTGAAAGTAGGATATCTGCAGGCATGGTCAAATGACATCACGATGTGGAGACATGCAGCTGATTTTAGTATACTGTATTTTAAACAGCTGAATTGATTAATTTCCGCATCAGGGATTCTGATGCTGTTTGAGAGCCAACATTCTATTTCAATCAATATTTTTCAATGAATACGATTCTTTACAAATTCATTAGCGAGGCCCACTAAAATAATTTTAAAAAATGAATATACTAAGTTCTTGGAAAGGAAAATGAAAGTTTGCAGTTCTAATTTCAACATTAAACGGACTAAATTCACAATTGTCAATAAGATATTTATTGAATATGGCTGCAATGTTTATTGCAGTTATGGAAATATCTATTCATTATGATGCATTCCATAGCAAGGGATTATAGTGGGTCACGGTGCTCTGTCAGATCTGATATAGGGATCAAGTCCTATTTCACTTTAACTTGAGTATTTAAAAAGTACACATACCGTAATCAGTGTAGGTGGCAGGGACTGTATCAGGGTATTAATCAATCAAAGACAATAAGTTATCAAGGAGACAGCTAGTGCTACTGAGTTTGAAAAAAAATGCATGTTTATATACTAGGTAACGATTTACTTAGTTGGATAGTAACAGTTTGTTCTCTTTTTTTTATGCACATATTTTCACCTTTTTTTCAACATTTTTAGTGATATGACAAATTTATGGTTTGAATTTTTTTGATGTTTTAGCATTCTAAAGATAATTTTTAAAAGATAACCAATATTTGTTTTAATCTTGATTGCATGGTTACAATATGTACAAATAATACTGTAAAGTCTTTTGAATGATATTATATTTCAGACTTGTACCAGATAACCATGGCATATGCTTACTGGAAAAGTGGAAAGAGAAATGAAACTGCAGTCTTCGATCTGTACTTCAGGAAAAATCCATTTAAAGGAGAATTTACAATTTTTGCTGGTTTAGAAGAATGCATTAAGTTTGTCAAAAGTTTCAAGTTCTCAGTCAGTGGTGAGTTACATGTATTTCTTATCCTGAATTTATAAATTACTGGGCATGATTAATCACAATCTAATTAAAATTAGATGTTAGATCCGCTCGCATACTCACTACACTAACATCGATGTTAGTGTAACAAGTATGCGAGTGGATCGAATATCTAATTTTACTTAGATTGGGTTAATCATAGGTGATAGAAATCTGCAGATACTGTCTGCAAGAGTTGCTCTATATTAAACTTAGTTCCAGAAATGATGACTGATCTTTTTTTGACTCGGTTCTCCTTTGATTAAAGTTCCCAGGTCAACTTAACAGTACATTAGCCATTAGGTCCATTAAATTCAAGAAAATGAAGTTTTTGACTGTGTTTATGTGTATTGTTAGTATCAAATCATATTTCTTGCCTTCATAGCAATTTGTGAAAAATGTAATCATGTATCTCTGTATCTCTCACTGTTAATAATATTTATTTTTCTGTTGTAGATATCAACTATCTAAAGACAGTTTTACCTGAAAATATTGAAAATGAATTTTTTGATTACCTTCAAAATTTAACAACAAATGAGGTGCGACTGGTTGCAATTGACGAGGGGATGGTTGTGTTCCCCAAGGTCCCCCTAATCTCAATAGAGGGCCCCCTCCCTGTGGTACAGTTAATGGAAACACCTCTTCTAAACCTTGTTAACTATGCCAGGTAAAATAAAATATGAATATATTGTATTCACTGGTACACATTAATTCAACAACTTGTTGTGCACTTATTATTAGAAGTCAGTGTGGTATATAAAGAGTTTTGTCTATAAAAATAGAAATCAACAAAAGGAATCAATTCCTCTATATATATAGAGGAATTGTATATCAGTATATATATAAACATCTCATGTTTCGATTGAGGAATTATAAATTAAAAATTATTAAGCAAAATTTGATGTTTGGAAGTCTGTGATAAGTTATTTAGAAAAAAAACCCTTTAACAATGCTGAAAAGGGTTGTCCCTAAGACCCAGGGGCCGGGAAATTTCCAAGCCTTTAATGATGTAATCCCCAGTTATTTTTGTTATTCCTCCTAAAATCCCCATTAGGGGAGGAACTCCAAATCCGCTTCTACTTTTTAAATGTAACCTATTTCAATTCTTATGGACAACCCTGCTTTAATTAGTTTCTGTGAAGGAAAAATATATCATGGTTTTCAAAGAGGTCTTGCTGAATTTACTTGCTGTACCAATTAACCACAAAATATGTAATGTTTATTGGCAGGTAACACCTTGCAAATATTAGATGCACTGCAGGTCTTAAACACTGTGAAATAAATTTGTAGTTTGGTCGCCACAAATGGAATGAGATTCAGACAAGCGGCAGGTCGAGACAAAACCTTACTGGAGTTTGGACTCAGAAGAGCTCAGGGTCCTGATGGGGCCTTATCTGCCTCCAGATACTGCTACCTTGGCGGTCAGTTGTATTAATTTTCTTATTGATTCTACTTAACACGTTTGTTTATTCTTTTAAGGAGACATTGATTTTCCCCTCTTATTGATATTAGCTTTACATTGATTTCTGATTCAACCTAAACTGCTGTATATAGTTCTAATAGGATTTCTAAATTAGACCAGTTGTCCCAAACTTGATTTTGTTATATTGTCCTTGAGTGCACTTTAACTGGGATCAAAAGGATTAGTAAAATGCTTCTTTGTAATTACATATCCATACATAGAAAAGAGAGTTAATCTGACCCTTAAATAACCTGCTGAAAATGTATAATAAAAGTCTGCTGAGTTTTTCTGTGGATATGTTATGTAATATATTTAAAGTGATTTTTATATTTACAAAACCCTTAATCTAATTCTTATGTTTGCATTGTCCTTATCTATATATTTCATTTTAGTATCAGTGCATAAAACACTGTAATAATGCAGTCTTAAAATTGTATGATCATGAACAGAGGGTATTTATCAAAATTAGAAAAACTGTGCATGAAACATCATTCAAATTTTCAACTAATTATATTAGGATATCTATATTTATTTTTACAATAATTTTTTTAAGTAGTGAATGTGTTAGATGATACACTTAGTGACATGTTTAATGAGCGTATTTAAATCCCTCTCCACCAGTGTTTAAATTTTTTGTCTTGTTAAGATTTTTCTATATTCATCTGATTTTGTTATTTTCTTCTACTCTAAACAAGAGGAATATGGGCCACAACACTCACCTGGCTTCATTTTGGTTTAATATTAATTTTCTTCTTCTCCCGAAAAGAGTAGAGGCAAAGTCTCCAGCCAAAACCTTGACCCAAATGTTGCAATAAGAAATGTTAACTTTCTAATCCCTATTTAAATTTGACTCCTTTCAGTTTGACTGATATAAAATTATACAAAATTAGTTTTATTATTAAGATGAATGTATGCCAAGTAATTGAAATAGCACAATTGTTTTTTTTCAAGTGGTACGTGCCAAAGGAAGTTTACAAAAAGGGACATGTAGTCAGTTGGCACTCAGTTGTTTTAAAGATAAGAATTTGGACATTTATTTATTAAATCCATAAGCAGTCATAGATTGTATTTGCCGTATCTTTAACAAGAGGGGAGGGGGTATAAGGACAGAAAAAGATACCTGTATTCATGGAATATCTTTTTTTTTTCATTCCATGCCATGTTAGCTCTGATATACCAGTCATTCCATATTTGTTGTAGGGTTTGATGGGACCAGCAATGTGTTGGCAGGGAAGATGTACAACATTCCAGTCAGAGGAACACACGCCCACGCTTTTGTCAATTCCTACTCTTCTCTTTCAGAAGTTCAAGAAAAGGTGAATTCAGATGTTAATGTAAATATTGTATACCCGGTACTTTAAAGTTGTAATAAAACAGGGCAAGGAAGTCATTTCAATGTTTCTTAACAACAAAGAAATGAGATGATACAGTGTAATGTGTTAAGTAGTCTTTTACTTCTACATTTCCATATTTAAGACAGAAGTCAATTTTAAAGTGCTTTTGTTTGTAGTATATTTTATTAACTCAAATTACTTTTGAAGTTGACTTCATTTACAAAGCCAAATTGTAGCAATAAGTAACAGTGTTTACAAAAGCAAGGTTTGTAACTATATGATGTTATGTTTTTATCATGTTATAGGAACTGCTGAATAAGAAAACTAACCAGGTACTCAAATTCACAGCAGTTTGTGTAAAATGGAGGAAGGACTTAGCCCCAGTATTGGGTAGGTGCAACATTTGTTTGATCCAAAGTTGAACAGAATTCTTTCATTTTATATTTACATCACGAAATATGGTTTTCAGAGATAAACACAATTACATAAGGAAACAGCTTTATATAATCATAAAGCCATTTGCTTTTGATTGATCTGCCCTCTGTGTATGCAGTTCACTTCATATCATAAACCAAAAAAAAATGGACAGTTTTTCCTTAAATGTATATGTCTATTGTGTAGTTGATTTGGATGAAGCATGACTCTGTTCAGACATTCTTAGATTCTGTATTAATGTTGATGATGTTTTAGATTTTCTGGATGACCAGGCTTTGATTATGTATTAATGTTGACGATATTTTAGATTTTCTGGACGATCAGGCTTTGATTCTGTATTAATGTTGACGATATTTTAGATTTTCTGGACGATCAGGCTTTGATTCTGTATTAATGTTGACGATATTTTAGATTTTCTGGACGATCAGGCTTTGATTATGTATTAATGTTGACGATATTTTAGAATTTCTGGATGATCAGGCTTTGATTCTGTATTAATGTTGACGATATTTTAGATTTTCTGGATGACCAGGCTTTGATTCTGTATTAATGTTGATGATGTTTTAGATTTTCTGGATGACCAGGCTTTGATTCTGTATTAATGTTGACGATATTTTAGATTTTCTGGACGATCAGGCTTTGATTCTGTATTAATGTTGACGATATTTTAGATTTTCTGGATGATCAGGCTTTGATTCTGTATTAATGTTGATGATGTTTTAGATTTTCTGGACAATCAGGCTTTGATTCTGTATTAATGTTGATGATGTTTTAGGATGATCAGGCTTTGATTCTGTATTAATGTTGATGATGTTTTAGATTTTCTGGGCAATCAGGCTTTGCTCTTCGACTACGTCTGTATTAGATGTGATTTTTGAACTATATTGGTTTGACTTTTACTTAGCATTTTAAATATCCGGTAACGATTTTGTTCCAAGTCGCTCGCATCAACAAACATACAAACACTGATTCTACAGTTTAATTAATTAAAAAGAGAAGGCTGGGAACAACTTTCGGTTGACAGAAATAATTAGGTAAGAAAATGATATTTCTGTGAATGATGCATGTGTTATATGCCGTGCCGATAACACGAACGACGAACTGCTACATCAGAACATGTTTCAAACTGTCGAAGTCGAGGCGACTATTGTCGGCGGCCAAGTTAAAGTTACTAGTGATAATTCGGAAGAAAAGTAATGACTACGATTTGACTTAGACAATTTATGAATTTTACTATTAAACATTACAAAATTAAATTTACTTTGAATAATAATTATTGTATAAAACGCATACCCCCCCCCCTCCAAACCTGCTTACCCACGAATCACAATGCAAAAATTATCTTTTGAATATAAGTATATGACAAAAGTTGATTCACTTGCAGCATACTTATTTTTTGTAACAAAATTATCCTGTTTGTTAGAATCAGTCAATCACTTTCATTTTCATTTGTCTCCAATTAATACAGACAAGTGTGTTTTAATTTTTTTAAAGCGTAAAATAAGATAGATTTTAGGGACAATAGGTATTGGGTGTGTATAATTATTGTTTTAAATATGTACAACTTTGTTAATACAAATATACACTCAAACATTAACAGTATTACAGGAAAATGTGGCAATATATTACTTCTGGAAGAAGGAAATTAGGGGGGTACCTTTAGTGTAGAGCTCATACCACGAAAAGTAATTCGTCAACATATACTTTTTTTAAGCTTATTCTTTTTCTTAAATATCATTTAGTAAAAATAATGCAAATTTACGAAGTTTGAGTCCATAATTTTTTTTAAATGGCCGAGATTGAACAGTGAAGCATATTTTCTCATATCAAATTTTGATGCATTACCCTAACAAAGTGCATCTGTTTATAATAATTCATGCAAAACAATGATTATATATTGTTTACTTACATTTTTCTACTTTATTTTGGGTACTAAAGTTGAATATTTAGACTTTAATTCATTTATATACAACAAAATCTAGGATACGTATATTTTCAATATTTTACATTTCGCGGTACTAGTATATACTCCGATAGGCAATAGCGGAAAAGTTAACATGCTGACATATATTTTTTCTTGCGTCTATCCATTGCTGGGATGTATGTCTATCTTATAAAAGCAGAATTTTTAAGATTGAGCCCATTTAGTGCCGAGTGTAGAACTACCTTAATGTTGACAATATTTTAGATTTTCTGGATGATCAGGCTTTGATTCTGTATTAATGTTGATGATGTTTTAGATTTTCTGGATGACCAGGCTTCTGAGGGGGAATTGGCTGCCTTTATAGCGTACGCTCACGCTTTCCCCGATGGCTTCCTGGCTCTTATTGACACATACGATGTCATCAGGTAAGACTCTCAGTACAAAGGAGAAATAATACTGGTGGCTTAATTCCTAAAATGTTTTCACAACTTATTCTAATAAGTATTCTAATACTTGTTTAATTGGTTTAAGGAAAATTCACAATGAATGATTTTATTTTCTAATTCCAGCATAATATATAAATGATCCAAAGATGAAGTTTTATACAATTTTTTGATTTTTTTTAAGACTGCATGTTTAAAAAATGTGTTACATTACTAGTGCTGTGCGATATTACCGGTTAACCGGTGTATCCCGATTTCGTTCTTCACAATACGTATCGCGGTATTTTTTTGTGAATACCGGTTTGGGTTCGATATGCTATAAATTGTTACAAAAAGAGTTATTTGCCCTTTTCAAGGTAAAATATGGCGGCAAGCGAAGTGAAGTGTGATCAGAAATCAGAGACATGTCTCTTTCAAAAACGAAACGACAACAGCTGTTATATGAAACCCCTTCATGTTAAAGCTGAATCTGAGTATTACAGCTTAATTGAATTCAACAAGTGCGACAAAAAAACTTATCTTGCCGCTTGCGCCGACATAACGCGATCAGGCAATAAGAATATCAACTCGAGAATACATGTAATTTGAGTTTGTGTTTTCATTTAACCTTGACGAAAAGCAAGAGATTATTAAATATTTATATCGTGATATATTGCAATACAAAATATAATATTGCAATATATCGCGATACAATTTTCCGTTGCGATACCCAGCACTATACATTACGTCTAACATCTATAATTTGATGTGAATTGAATTATATATAGGTCAGGGCTCCCTAACTTCTGTACTGTAGCCATGGCTCTCAGTGACTTTGGATATGAACCTAGGGGAATTCGTCTGGACAGTGGAGACTTGGCGTACCTGTCTCAGGTAGTCAGAGAGAGCTTCAAGAAGGTAGCAGATAAGTAAGTGTACATCTTATTTATATCACTTCAAAAAGGTAGCCAATAAGTAAATACATCTTATTCATATCAAAGGATCATTTATACATTCTGCAATTAGGATAATTTGAAATGACAAGTCTATGACAAATTCATGCAGGAAATTTTAGTTCATAGAGGTTATCTCCCATCAAAACACAATCTTAAAGCAAATTTCTTTTATTGTGTACAGAATGCTTGAAAGAATCTGATGTGTGATATTGTTTCTGATGAAGAAAGCAATTGAACAATGTATATATACTCAACCCTTGTCTAAATTCTTATCCTTGAGTTTTAATGTAAAAAAAATTATTTGAATTGATCTTATGTATGTCGGAGACGTAAATGTGTGACATTGGTGATGTGAAATATTTCTGCAAGGTCAAATCTTTCATACTAGTTTTCTTCGTTTTTTTATTTTTGAGAATGTGATTCATTTATTTTAAGGTTTGGAGTTCCATGGTTTGCTAAATTAAACATTGTGGCCAGTAATGACATCAATGAAGATACAATACATTCTCTTAATCAGCAGGTAACACAATTAAAGTTACAGATAATGCACTAAACACTTTTGAGAAAGATTTGAAATTCACCTGAATTAATCTATGGATTTCTGAATTTGATAGGGCCATGAAATTGACAGCTTTGGGGTCGGTACTCATTTAGTCACATGCCAAAAACAGCCAGCACTAGGGGGTGTGTACAAGGTAAGATTTTCTATAGCACCAAGAGTTATTTACAATGTTAAAACATGCATAACAATTAGCACTAGGGGTTATGCACAAGTCTCAACAGTGAGAACATGGGGTAGTTTACATGTACAGGGAGAGTGTACAAGGTCAGACTGCTAATAGTGAGCACGATGGGTATTACACAACAGTCAGTACTTGAGATGTACGCAGCAACTAGCACTGAGGGGTGGGGGGGAGGGGTTATACAAGTTAACCCATATTCAGAATCAACAACACTAGGGGGTTTACAAGAAAAGTCTCTGAAAAAGCCAGCACTGGGAGGCACAAAAACCAGCACTAACAGGTGTTTACAACGTAAGAAAAACCAGACTAGAGGGTCAGTACACTGTATAACATTATTAACATCTGGCATTGGTGAGAAGATGAACAAGGTAAGATATTCTCAACAACTAACATTTTTGGAGCAAGGGGGGGGGGGTGAGAACAACAGCCAACTATTTGGGGGAGGGGGGCTATGAACAACAACCAGCATTAATGGATGTGTACAAGGAAAGCAATTTAATAAGCAGCACTAAATGTTCAGTGATATGTAAATACTATGGATTTTTTTTAACATTGAAAATATTCATAGATGTTAATAAATAAAAATGAAAAAAAAATGCTTTAACTCTTAGCAATTTTCATTTTTTCTTTATTCTAGCTGGTTGAAATAAATAAAAACCCTCGAATGAAACTGAGTGAGGATGTAGAAAAGGTGACCATTCCAGGCAGGAAACTTGCCTATCGCTTGTTTGGTATTGACGGTCAGTATTATTAAATTGTTTCCAAATTAAATTTTTGGCTAATTTGGTTTTATTAATACCATTAGTAAAGATTATAACATCATACATATAAACAATAAGTTAAAAAAGAAAATGTTTACATCTGGGATAATCATTTGCTTCCCTAATTCCTGGAATGGAAATGAAAATTCTTAGTAGGTTGTCATTAAATCTTAGGTATAGCATGATAAACAAACATAGAAAAAAGTTATCCATCCAAATTCCTGAAGAAAAAACAGAAAAGAGATTTTGATACAGCATGTGATTTTAATTACTTTTAGGCAATGCTCTAGTAGATCTTAGGCCAAAAAAAAAATTAATCAAGTTTCTCAGGCACCACTGCATCAGTTCAAAAACGGCCGCATTGAACAATTGTATTGACATATTGAAAAGGGAAATAACTCAATTTTCTATTTTTCCAAGTTGAAAAAAGAAAATCGAGTTATTGCCCTTTTCATAAATGCTAAGAAAGATGTTTTATTAGAAAAACAATATCTTTCTTCTAAATTTACAGTATTTTATAAATTAACTTTTAATAAATGTTTGGAATAACATTTAAAGTTGAATATATATTATTACTAATTTCAGAGAACAAAACTTAAGAATTAGTAGATATTATCATTTTTAGCTCACCTGAGCCGAAGGCTCAAGTGAGCTTTTCTGATCACATTTTGTCCGGCGTCCGTCTGTCTGTAAACTTTTCACATTTTCGACTTCTTCTCAAGAACCATTGGGCCAATTTCAACCAAACTTGCCAAAAACTTGGTGAAAGGGATTCAACTTTGTTCAAATAAAGGGCCACGCCCTCATTCAAGGGGAGATAATTGGGAATTAATGAAAATTTGGTGGTATGTTTTAAAAATCTTCTTCTCCAGAACCACTGTGCCAGGAAAGACGAAACTTATAGGGAAACATCCTCAGGAAGTGTAGATTCAAATTTGTTCAAATCATGACCCCCGGGGGTAGGGCGGGGCCACAATTGCCGACCAAAGTTTTACATAGAAATATATGGGAAAATTCTTTAAAAATCTTCTTCTCAAGAATATCAAAGCCATAATTGATCATATTTATATGGAAGCATTCTCAGGTAGTGTAAATTCACATTTGTTCAAATCATGACCCCCGGGGGTAGGGCGGGGCCACAATGGCCGACCAAAGTTTTACATAGAAATATATAGGAAATTTTTTAAAAATCTTTTTCTCAAGAATAGAAAAGCCATAATTGATCATATTTATATGGAAGCATTCTCAGGTAGTGTAGATTCAAGTTAGTTCAAATCATGACCCCCGGGGGTAGGGCGGGGCCAAAATGGCCGACCAAAGTTTTACATAGAAATATATAGGAAAAGTTTTTTAAAAATCTTCTTCTCAAGAATAACAAAGCCATAATTGATCATATCTATATGGAAGCATCCTCAGGTAGTGTAGATTCAAGTTTGTTCAAATCGTGACCCCCTGGGGTAGGGCGGGGTCACAATGGCTGACCAAAGTTTTACATGAAATATATGGGAAAATTCTTTAAAAATCTTTTTCTCAAGAATAGCAAAGCCATAATTGGTCATGGGACTACTTTTGGATTTAAACTTTTCAATAATAAACCAATATCTACTTTTTCCTAGCCACAGTGCTCAGGTGAGCGATGTAGCCCGTGGGCCTCTTGTTTTTTAACAAACGACTTTAAAAAATGTGTAGACTAAATCCTGCTTCAAAAAAAAAAAAAAAAAAAAAAAAAAAAAAAAACCTGCCTGCCGCATTGAATTCTGATTTTTTTGGCTTGAGAAACTATTGATTAATTATACCCCCCGCAAACGAAGTTTGGGGGGGTATATAGGAATCACCTTGTCCGTGTGTCCGTCTGTCTAGCTGTCCAGCTGTCCGTCTGTCCGTCCGTCCGTCTGTCTATGTAATCATGTCCGGTCCATATCTTTCTTACAGAGGGACATTAGAATCTACTACTCCATACAAAGATTGCCCATGTCCTAAGGGTGTGTCATGACCTTGACCCAAGGTCATTTGGGGAACTTCAAGGTCACTGGAAGAAAAATTTCATAATTCGTGTCCGGTCCATATCTTTCTTATGGATAAACTTGGTAGGTTCTCATTTCACACAAAGATTGCCCATGACCCAAGGGGTGTGTCATGACCTTGACCCAAGGTCATTTGGGGAACTTCAAGGTCACTGGAAGAAAAATTTCATAATTCGTGTCCGGTCCATATCTTTCTTATGGATAAACTTGGTAGGTTCTCCTTTCACACAAAGATTGCCCATGATATAAGGGTGTGTCCTGACCTTGATTCAAGGTCATTTGGGGAACTTCAAGGTCACTGGAAGAAAAATTTCATAATTCGTGTCTGGTCTATATCTTTCTTATGGATAAACTTGGTAGGTTCTCATTTCACACAAAGATTGCTCATGACCCAAGGGTGTGTCATGACCTTGACCCAAGGTCATTTGGGGAACTTCAAGGTCACTGGAAGAAAAATTTCATAATTCGTTTCCAGTCTATATCTTTCTTATGGATAAACTTGGTAGGTTCTCATTTCACACAAAGATTGCCCATGACCTGAGAGTGTGTCATGACCTTGACCCAAGGTCATTTGGGGAAGTTCAAGGTCACTGGAAGAAAAAATTCATAATTTGTGTCCAGTCCATATCTTTCTTATGGATAAATTTGGTAGGTTCTCATTTCACAGAAAGATTCCTCCTGACTTAAGGAGTGTCATGACCTTGGGTCAAGCTCTTTGGGGAAGTCAAGGTCACTGGAAGAAAAATTTCATAATTCATGTTTGATACATATCTTTATTAAGGAAAAACTTACTTCTGAAAAACCCAGCGGGGGGTATTTTGTCCCGTTTGGACAGTTCTAGTTTTTTTTGGCCTTATGATGCAGCATGTAATTTGTTACTTTCAGGCAATGCTCTAGTAGATTTTATAGGTACTTGGACACAGATTTCAAGTTATTATTTTCTCTATAATATTACGACTTATATATTTTAATAGCATTTCGCAGAAAAATTAATTAAAAATTTTATTTCATATAAAAGATATTAAAATTTCAAATTATTTGGCGGTTTTGATTGACACATCCTTGCACTTTCACAAATTAATTGTATTCTTAATTCTTAGGAAAAGTGGCAATCTCGTTTTGTATAAATGAAAAATATTAATACTATAATCTAGAAAATTCAGAGTAGACATATTCGAAAGCAAAACAAACACACAATATATTATCAGTCCGTGCAGTTGTGGTAAGCAGACTGTGACTGTTGAACGCACCCGGTGAATTGTAAACATAAACATTAACAGAACTCGAGCCCTGTTTACAAAAACTGTGTACATAACACGAGTGTGATCGATTTGCTAAACTCTGTACGCAACTCTTAGTTTGGAATGACAATACTTGTGAAGGAGTTTTGCTTTCTAACATTTCTACTCTGAATAAAATTATTTTTCTGGATAAAAGTGTTAATATTTCTCATGAATACACAATAAAACACAATTAAAAATTGCATATACCATTTCCACTTTATCCGTTTCCCCGCAATCACGCATTTTCACGCACTTTAAAAAGTTCATTTAATCTTAAATTTAATGGCAATTTCCTTCTATTTTATACTTGCAAAAACTTGTGAAAAGTTATTTTTGTGTCATAATATTATTTGCGCTTTAGGAAACGTGTACCACGCTAAAAGGTGCTTGCGGGGAAATGGTAAATTTCTATTTCTATGACGTGAACATTAAGTGTATGTGGCATAACAGTTCAGTAAGTTGTAAAGAGTTAAGAATAAGGTTAAAACTTGTGAAAGTGCAAGGATATGTCAATCAAACCCGCCAAAATATTTTTAATAACTTTTAAATGAAATAAGATTTTTAATTAATTTTTGTGTGAAATGCTATTAAAATATATAAGTCGTAATATTATAGAGAAAATATTGACTTCAAATCTGTGTCCAAGTACCTTTATGATACAGCATGTAATTTGTTACTTTCAGGCAATGCTCTAGTAGATCTTATGATACAGCATGTGACTTGTTACTTGTAGGCAATGCTCTAGTAGATCTTATGATGCAGCATGTGATTTGTTACTTTTAGGCAATGCTCTAGTAGATCTTATGATGCATCATGTGACTTGTTACTTTTAGGCAATGCTCTAGTAGATCTTATGCTCTAGTAGATCTTATGATGCAGCATGTGACTTGTTACTTTTAGGCAATGCTCTAGTAGATCTTATGATGCAGCATGTGACTTGTTACTTGTAGGCAATGCTCTAGTAGATCTTATGATGCAGCATGTGACTTATTACTTGTAGGCAATGCTCTAGTAGATCTTATGATGCAACCTTCAGAGACGGCGCCACAGCCTGGAGAACGTGTCTTATGTCGTCATCCTATACAGGTACGGTACTAACAGTACTTATTTTGTGCACCATCTCTTGCTTAAAGCTATATTTATGTCACCCACTCTTGGTACAGGATATTTTCTGTTGACTTTGTCCCTTCCTGAATGTTGTGTCACCATTTGAAGAATGGCCTTATGATGTGAACCAATATGAATACAGACCATGTTCTGTTGACCATCTCATCCTGAATACTAAGTTTATTCTGGCCTTCACCGGAAGTCCTCTCCTATTTATTGGGTTTGCAAAGATGTGACCAGGTTTTTCATTCTTGAATTTTATGTATAGATTCAATTCAAAAGAAAATGTGTATACTGATGATCACAAGGATGGAACTCTGGTTGCAGTGGAAAGAAGAAAGTGTAATAACCACTGACCTAACTAGAGTTTTGATCCTTTTATTCAGCAGTGATTGAATAAAAAAGGTAAATTGTTACATAAGTGGACATGTGGGATTTTTCTGGGTACTCCAGTTTCCTCTCACAGAAACACCTCCTCCTTAGGCTACATCTGTGCAATAAAGGATCCCATTTGAAATGTCCTTTCCAAATTTCATGGGCTATCCTTGGTATTATATGAACATATCTTTATATTTTGTTTAATTATGTTGATACTGAATTAAGCTAATTTATTTTGTGGATAAATTTCCAGGAATCAAGACGAGCCTACGTAATCCCAGCCAAAGTTGAACTGCTTCACAAGTGTTACTGGGACAAAGGAAAGGTAAGTGGGATTTCGAATCTGATCCATATTGCATTTAATAATATCTAAATGACAATTATTTACAATTACTTACTGATATATTTGACTTTCAAAGTTTTGTAGTTGGATTTAAAAGTTTATAGATATTTTTTTTTTAAACTTTCAATATTCAACAGGTGGTACAACCTCTTCCAACCCTAACTGAACTTCGAACCAAGGCCCTTAAATCTCTACAAACCCTGAGAATTGACCACAAGAGAGCACTGAATCCTACACCATACAAGGTAATGCTGCGGGTGTCACACCAGTATACTGTAAACGCATTACATTTGGCGATGTATTCTTCTTAGTGCTTTTGGCGGAAAGATACTTCTGCTAATTCAAGTACATTGCTAAATGTCTTAAACATTGATACATGAATAAGAATATCGAAATGCGCTAAATCAAATCTACGCTAACTTGCTTAAAAATCACTTTCCACTAAATATCGTATACGCTAAATATAATACATTTACAGTATTACTTTAGGTCCATATGAAAACATGGCCAAAGCTAAACGATTCCTCATCTTCCTTCTCAGAGGAAGCAAGAACTTAGATTTTTCTGAGGTTAAAAACAACACGTTGGCTGTCTGATTTACCAGATATATACAGGAGTATTGTTGATTTATTATACCCCCACTTGGAAGGAGAGGGGGATCTACTGTTTTACCCTTGTGTCTCTCTGTCAGTTTGTCTGTCTATCTGTCTGTAATAAGTTTTTGGTCACAGTTTTCACAGCAACTCTTGGTAGATGCTTGAAATTTTAGCACATTCTTTGTTGAGGCATGCAACGTGGTGGGATTCATTTTTGTACGAATCTGATGTCAACTTCCTGTTCATCTGTATGTTATTTTCGTAATTATACTTGTGTATATTCACATAATAGTGTATATTCACACTGACATATCGGTATTGTTGTTTTACTGTATTTCAAGGGTGGATGGTTAAGTGTGTGTATGTACTTAAAGGTTTAAGAATAAGGACAATAAGAAAACAAGTTTTTCACTGTGGTGTTACTTTTGCTCTGATGATAAACTTGATTTCTATTTCAGGTGTCTGTAAGCAGTGAGCTTTACACCTTTATGCATGAACTCTGGCTAAAGAATGCACCCATTGGAGAGCTGTGTTAAAATGGGATGCTAAAGTCAGTCCTGTTGACCAATGAAAATCTTAGTTTTACAGCCAGTATATTGTCTTATAACTGCCTTTTTAAGGAGACCATTTTGTTTATACTTATTTTTCAGTATTCCAGACAATCTTAATTACTCAATGGACTCTGTTTTGTGTGCAATATGTTTTTATTTCCTGATGTGTTAGAACTATCTTTCATTTTTTGCCCTGTTTAGAAACGTAGGGCCTGTTTTGCAAAAGAACTTGCAATTCAGACCATATGTATGCCATGATTTTAAGTGTGTCTAACTCTGCCTAGCGAATATTTTAAATAAAAATTGCTCTCTAAAGATTTATTTCCAAAAAGAAATAAAATATAATAAAGAAATTCAAAATGCTAAAAAAAAAGGACAATTATTCTTAAAGGATATTTAAGTTATAGGTCAAAAGTTCTTTTGATAAGACAAGACCTAAAATATGAATACATCTCTTGTACCAATTTAAGTAGATTTATACACTTTATTTGTCCTTTCAGTGCAGTATTATAGATTTTTCAGCCATACTGTGATTTAAAATATTTTTTTTTCAGATTCATGTTAGTGTGACCGCGGAGCTGTTTTTGAATTTTGAATTTTTTTTATTCAATATTATGATACATATTAAAAGAACATCATTTTGTTACTATGGGGTGGCACCCCATATTGCATTATGTTATTCACAAGGTAACTCTATCAGTATAAAAAACATATCATCCAACTGCACACATACTTGTATCCCCCTCTCTCCTGTGCTACTGTTTCTTACAAAGTCCGTGTTACTACCTCTTTTGTTTGTACGAGAAAATTACATTATCCTCTCATAGAAACATGTACACATAAACTGCCCCTCCTCCATGTATTCTTATTTCCACAGGGTGCTCACCCTGAAAATCTCATGTTTTTGTTTTATCTGAGTCATTGTGCCTGAAGACTATACAATCATTAGTTGTTTTTTTCAAAATGATTTTAATGAATTTGTTATATTTTTAGATAAGATTTTATTTGAAACAGAGATATTTTTATTGAATTGTACATAATAAATCAATTGTGTGAGACAAATGTTAACATTTCTTAGAGCCATACTACATGTGCATAAAAAATTTGAATTTGTCATTAATACATTTACTAGTACACTCTATACTAAGATTTTTTTAAATGAATGTTCAGACTCTTGAAGCAGTTATTCCTTAACTAACAGAATTTTCACTTCTAGGACAAGGACTAGTCAAAAAGCTTTAGTCTTTCAAAATGCACCTTTTAATCTTAATTCCTGAACTTTTTATTTGAAGGTTGACTTTATTAACATACATTATCATTTTTTCTCATTTTGATACATTATACAATGTTGCCAGTAATACTATTTACTATGAAATATTTTAAAAACTTGTATTCTCATTCAGTCTTATTCCAAATATTGTTTTTAAATAATGACTGGAACACATGTTCACTTTATTAATGGTAAAAAGGGTATGCAGTTGAACAATATTGCAATGATTGATATATTTATTCTTTTCCATAATTACAAACCATTAGAGCTACAGTCTCATCAGAGACTTTTAACAGAGTGATTCAATCATGTCAGCAAAACCATCTTGTAGCCTATCATCTATGCATTGTATTTTTCTTTTTAATGGTTTGTTTGTTTTAATGAATAGTCTGTGGATATACATGTAGCAGTTACCAAACTGAGTTTCTAATGTTGCTGGTATAATAGAATGACAAATGTATAGGAAGTCTGATAAAATATACATGTATCTTTAATTTCAAGCAATACAAATAAAAATCTTTCAGTTAATTTTGCTTTGTATTTTGTGTAGAAAGCTTGTTCTGTCTTTGCCAGACTTCTGTCATGTTGTAAATTTTGAATTTAAACTCTCCCTGTGAACAGGGCGTAAATATTAATATACAATGATTTTTTCTGATCACATTTTGTCCCGTGTCCGTCTGTCTGTCTGTCTGTAAACTTTTAACATTTTCGACATCTTCTCAAGAACCGCTGGGCCAATTTCAACCAAACTTGCCACAAAGCATTCTTGGGTGAAGGGAATTCAAGTTTTTTCAAATGAAGGGCCACGCCCTCTTTCAAGGGGAGATAATTGGGAATTAATGAAAATTTGGTGGTATGATTTAAAAATCTTCTTCTCAAGAACCACTGTGCCAGGAAAGATGAAACTTATGGGGAAAGATCCTCAGGTAGTGTAGATTCAGATTTGTTCAAATCATGACCCTCGGGGGTAGGGCGGGGCAAAAATGGCCAACCAAAGTTTTACATAGAAATATATAGGAAAATTCTTTAAAAATCTTCTTCTCAAGAATGACAAAGCCATAATTCATCATATTTATATGGAAGCATCCTCAGGTAGTGTAGATTCAAGTTTGTTCAAATCATTACCCCCAGGGGTAGGGCGGGGCAAAAATGGCTGACCAAAGTTTTACATAGAAATATGTAGGAAAATTCTTTAAAAATCTTCTCAAGAATGACAAAGCCATAATTGATCATATTTATATGGAAGCATCCTCAGGTAGTGTAGATTCAGATTTGTTCAAATCATGACCCCCAGGGGTAGGGTGGGGCCAAAATGGCTGTCCAAAGTTTTACATAGAAATATGTAGGAAAATTCTTTTAAAATCTTCTTCTCAAGAATTGCAAAGCCATAATTAATCACATTTATATGGAAGCATCCTCAGGTAGTGTAGATTTAAATTTGTTCAAATCATGACCCCCGGGGGTAGGGCGGGGCCAAAATGGCCGACCAATGTTTTACATAGAAATATATAGGAAAATTCTTTAAAAATCTTCTTCTCAAGAATGACAAAGCCATAAATTATTTATAGAGAAGCATCCTCAAGTAGTGTAGTTTCTAGTTTGTTCAAATCATGATCCTTTGGGTATGTCGGGGCCAAAATGGCTGACCAAAGTTTTACATAGAAATATATAGGAAAATTCTTTAAAAATCTTCTTCTCATGAATGACAAAGCCATAATTCATCATATTTATATGATAGCATCCTCATGTAGTGTAGATGCAGATTTGTTCAAATCATGACCCCCGGGGGTAGGGTGGGGCCACAATGGCCGCCGAAGGTTTTACATAGAAATATATAGGAAAATTTTTTTTAAAATCATCGTCTCAAGAATAGCAAATCCATGATTGGTCATGGGACTACTTTTGATTTAAACTTTTCAGTAATAAACCAATTTATACTTTTTTCTAGCCACAGTGCTCAGGTGAGCGATGTGACCCATGGGCCTCTTGTTTTATTAATACTTCCTTGTCGAATTGTAGAAAACCCAATGCTTACTATTTCCTATAATGAATCAATTGAAAAGGGGCAGTTTTTTCTCTCTCTCATCTTTAACCTGTCAAAAGTGAGAGTCCTCTTCATTTTAGCTTATTAGCTCACCTGAGCTAATTGTTAACCGCCTTCATGGTAGAATTATGAGCAAGTTTCACAATTTTATTTAAAAGTATATTTATGTAGATTGTTTTCTGTCTTGCAAAGTGTAATGCATGTACTATAGTCTGGTCCGATTTATAGGAAAAAATACTTCTTACGGCAAATAATTATTATTTCGTCCAGCATAGTATTTTAACCTATTTCGAGTATTCTGAATCCGAAAAAATATGCTGGACTTCATGAAAATGGCGTTAAAGTGGTCAAAATGGCGATTCAAAATGGTGGACATCAAATTTTTCTAATTTTCTCTCAATATCGTTCAAAAAGGAGAAATAATGTGTGAATATCTTACTGAGTGTAATAAAACTATAAAAATGATAATAGAATGCTAACATTATTAGTTTAACTCAGAAAATTTAGTCGTTTCTACACTTAATTTGAATTTTCTCTGATTTATTTGTTTATTGTTCTATATTCTGCTTTGTTTAGGATCTTACATTTGCAAATATCCATACACTGCAGATTTGTATTTTTCCTCTACATCTCACTATTCTACACTTGAATGATGGTGCAGCTGTAAGTTAAAAGTCAATATGGCAATTCAAAATGGTGGAAATTCCTTTTTTTCAAATTATTTCTTAATGTCGTTTACATAGGAGAAAGAATTTGTGAATATCTTACTGAGCGAGTACAATTAACCATGTAAAATTTCAACAGAACACTAATATGATCACTTTAAATCGGAAAATTTAGTTGTTTGAATTTAAAATGTGTTAATTAGCTCAAAATGGGGATTCAAAATGACGTCATATTCTCGAATTTCGTAAAATACTCAAGCTGCTTAATTTTGAGTCGTTTTGCAGAAAATAAATTACAGTTTGTTTTTTTATATATATAGTATATTGATAAGTCCATTAAATATGAACAAACAAAAAATAACAGAAAAGATTCATTTTTTCTGGAAATAGTTAAAACAAACTCGACTTAAGAGTTTCCAAATTTCCCCCCTCGTATTTGACCGTGTTCCAAAGCCTTTGAGCCCCCGTTTACCTAAAATCACTCCTGAATCCTGTGTTTATCAACTTGCATTTCTACCTCTACATCCCTCAGCACACTATCAAATATAACTGAAGAAATTCTTGTCAGATTTTATCGAATACTTTGTTCTAGCTTTTTAGCACTTATAAGAACTTAGTATTATCCCCTAACATCTTCTATTCCAGTGTTATTTGTTATACCGGTATGTTTCAGTCTGTCTTCGGAATTTAGATATTTTCAACACTCAAGTAAAATGGTGCCCCGTGTCAAGGATGACAACCCACTTGGCATGTAAAAGATCGTTTCTCTGGAGTTCGAAAAAGAGTAAGCTCACTGGGGACCGCCAGAGAAACCAAAATCCTTCAAAAACTGATTATTCAAACTGATAGTCCGCCTAAACATGGCTGAAAAATTGCCGACGCGGCGTTAAACAATATACAATCAATCAATCAACACTCAAAGAAAAAAAAAAAACATTTATGTTCAAATGTTAAAAGTCTGTTTTGTTTTCCAAAACCTTTTGCAAAATGAAGTAGAGGTTCTGTGAGCAATTAGCTCACTAAATGATAGCCCCTGTCTCCCATATGAATATGATAATGACAGTGTCCATGTTTTGCTCTGTGAAACCCAAAATATGTGTTGGATCAAAAAGTAAAATAGGAGGTGCACAATGGAAATATGTAATCAAGATTCTGTGAAAGTTTATCAAATTTCATTCATTGGTATGAGAGGAGTTGCGGATAAGGAATGGGTACCCCAAAGCGTAAAAGACGGACGGACGGACGAACCGATTACTCTATACCCTTCCGCTTTTTAAGCTGGGGGGATAAAAAATCTCTGATATTCAAGACATGTAGCTCTTTATTTCCTGACCGCGTATAGATTTGTTGTCTTTTAGGGTAGAAAGGTCATTCTATTAGCAAGAAAAGTCTCAAATTTTATTATCTGGAATCACATTGTGTGCATATTTTGGTGAGAAAAGTTATATAATTATGCAATTTAAGTGCGCCTGCAGATTCCTCGTGATTCTTATCATGTACAAGCTTTCGTACCAATAGGACTAAGCCATTCTTGACTTCGATCTAGTCAACACTTCTCGTGACAATAAAATTTTAGTGATACAGAATCAGAGCTGGACAATCAAGAAAATTTATGGTTTACGTATTTTATACTGATAATTCTTAATAAATATGTTTATTGTTGGATATTTTAATATATTCAGATTTATATGATGTAACAACTACTAGCCCTCTAATTGGTCGTGGTTTATCATTTTAAAAATCATACTAAGTAATGTTGCACTAGAACTTCCACATGTACATAAACATTTCTACACTGGACTAAAAATAGATCAAGAATTTCCAACAACTGATATGATTTAGCAGCCCTCGAACTACAATGTTCACTCGCCTTAATGCTCGGAGAATACTGCTCTTGGGATAGTTTAATTTTCCTATTGTCCTCAAAACAGCAATTATTGTATGACATTATTGTTATTATGATATGAAGAAGCATGATAAGACAGGTATATAGGTAAATTGTCGTCAAAAATTTAATAATAGAAGTAATGAAACAAAAATCGTGTTATAAAAATCCTAAGTCTTTAATAAAAATATCCTCCAACTTTCATTACATAATTAAACATTATTTCATGAATAAAGAAAATCCTGTAATTTTTTCTGTATAAAACGTTATTTGAATTGCCATTTTGAGCTAAGTAACACGTTTTAAATTTAAACGACTAAATTTTCCGATTTAAAGTGATCATATAAGTGTTCTATTGGAATTTTACATAGTTGTACTCCGCTTACTAAGATATTCGCAAATCCTTTCTCCTATGTAAACGACATTAAGAAATGATTTGAAAAAAAAGAATATCCGCCATTTTGAAACGCCATTTTGACTTTTAACTTACAGCTGCACCATCATTCAATATGTAGGATAGTGAGATGTAGAGGAAAAAATACAAATCTGCAGTGTATGGATGTTTGCAAATGTAAAATCCTGAACAAAGAAGAATAAAGAAACAATAGACAAATAAATCAGAGAAAATTCGAATTTAGTGTAGAAAAGATTAAATTTTATGAGTTAAACTAATAATGTTAGCATTCTATTATCATTTTTATAGTTTTATTACACTCAGTTAGATATTCACTCATTACTTCTCCATTCTGAACGACAATAAGAGAAAATTAGAAAAATTTGATGTCCGCCATTTTGAACCGCCATTTTGATCACTTTAACGCCATTTTCATGAAGGCCAGCATATTTTTTCGGATTTAGCATACTTGAATTAGGTTAAAAAACTATGCTGGACTAAATAATAATTATTTGCCGTTAGAAGTTATTTCTAGCCTTCTTTTTAAAAATCAGGACAAGACTACTAGAAGTTGAGAATCGATTTCAAACTAACTATTAATGTACCAGGGTATATCAGGTATTTTCAGATCAGAAAAAAATTACAGACATTTCTTGGCGACGTGCATACGTGTAACGTGAAGGTGGACAAAAAAAAATATAACACGTTTTGCACAATTTTTGGTCAGGAATCACTAATCTGAAACAGAGAATCCAAAGCTGACTATCTTACTACTCGACTTTACTTATGTATTTCTCAATACATCCGTAGCACGTAGTTTCATTTTAATAAAATACATTGAAAAGTGGTGTTGCTATTTAAACTAATGAACATGCATATCCAGAATTCAATACTACCAAGCGTAAAAAAGGTGAAAGCGATAAATTGGGTAATTTAAAGATCATATTCTAAGAACACATGCTGACAAAGAGAAGTACACCGGAAAAGACGTAAAAGCAACCACCAACAACTGCAAGCCCGAAGGCCCAGTCCAAGTAGTCCATGTCTTTCTTAGAACCGAAAATAATGACACCCAGCAGGATCACCGCGCCTGTAATTTTAAAAATAAATCCATGTGGAATATTAAGTTACTTTCTTGTTTCAATTTAATCATAACCAATAAATTGAGACATAAAAAAGAGCTCACATTCTAAAGGAATGTATGCCATATCAATCTGAAAATTACTAGTACTACACCAAAAATTGTATTGCTTTAGCGCTAAAAATTACCTGCTCCTAATGTAATTATTGCAGTTAGAAGTGCTACAATTTTATTTCCTGCAGTCTTTGATATACATGTGTACAGAACGAGGAAAACAAGACTGATGATGGCAGCCACCAGACCAACAGATTCGAACACTCTCACGGATTCGAACCAGTCAGGAACTAAAAATAAAAAACATTGGACGAATTCATTTCCTGAGTGTTTAATCTGCCCCTCCCCCCTTTCATAAAAAAAACTCGTACATTTCTATTACGAAAAAGAAAAGCTTAAAGACAAGTATAATTGATTGGACGTTGGTGAAATTCCGACACAAGCGGTACAGCTTTGGAGATGCATGTTCTTCTAAGTAGGCACCGTCGGGTAAAATAAAAATATTAAGTGCATGGACGTTTTTTTTTTCAAATTGGACTTGAGATTGCCTATAAGAGGTTTTGAAACAGCTTCGTGGTTTCACTCATATACCATCTTTTTTGTCCACTGTGTAAAACTTCCTATACATCAAAGAAGCAAGAAAAGTACTCTTTGTTAATTGTGTTCGACATTATTATACACTTTTGTTACTCTTGGAATGCAAATTTCGTACATATGTGTTTTGTTTTTATCACTGATACCTATGGCGACACAAGATACAACTGCTCAAGAGGAGCCTACGGCAGCGACGCTGACAGAGCACATTTTTTACAGAAGAGCTAGGTTATGTTTGTTTGGATTAACTTATTATGAATTCATTAAATTGAGAACCGCGCCATGTCCTGCAGTGAATAGAAGAGTTTAATTATTGATGGGGTTTTTTTTGAAGGGGGGGGGGGGGGGCAGATTTATCTTGTTTCATTAGAAGTTTAGAAAAAAATTCAGTTCCAGTGTTTTAAATTCATTTTGGACCTATAAGGCTTAATTGTTGCCCTTTTTTTATTTTCATAGTCGCGCAATTTCTTTATTTTAAAATTAAAATATGAAATTTGACAGGGCCATTTGCTAGGGTTCTAAAAAGGTTCGACAGATGGTTAGGGGAGGAAAATCCCTCCTCCTAGCCAAATATTTTTATATCTGGGTATCACTGTTGTGTGTGAGAAGGTGTACATGTGAGCGTATGTTTGTATTTTTGAAGTAATTTCTTCATAGATAAAATTTAAAAAAATACATAAAATAAATAAATAAAGCAAATTTTCTTTGAATAGATGAATAATTTACTAGTATTGTTTCAAACATAACATTTTCATACTATTTTTTAAAAATATTTTTGTAAAGGGGCGTGGTCACATCCATTTGCACCCCGTTCCGACGGTCTTCTTTATTGAAAAAAAAATCTGAAATGTAATGGAGTTACAATGAACTTACGATAAGTGTTTTTGCCGACATCTCCCAGATCTGTGTAATATTTGCATCCCTCAATGCCTAGAACTTTGCTGCATATTTTCCATAGGCCTCCATATCCTCCAAAAGTAAATTTTTCCCAGTATGGTACCCCGAACCCCACCACAAAAAGGAGAAAGCCCAAGCCAATAAACACAGAGGCCACCTTGGTTGCTGATGGGACCTCTCCAAATCCAGCCATGTTACGTTTGCGATCTTGAACGCAGTGAGTGAGCAGGTTAACTGAGCATGAGTAAGGTGCACGTAAACACTTAATTACGACTCCATAGTCATATTAGTCAAAGATCTCATCAGTCTCATTTGATTTTTATTAATTTGAGAAACTTTGAAGAGGAAAATGCCACATCACTAATTATTTGGGCTTACAATGAGTAATGCTTCTTCTGATTTATTATATGTCCTCCCTAATGGGGGATCCATGTTGTGTTGCATAATTATTTTCAGCTCTGTATTTGTCTCCCCGCTGTTTGTCTACATAGAAATCATGTTTGATCGTAACCCTCGATCTCTAATGAAAAAATATGCAATCGTTGCCCGTAACTATGGAATCCGGATAAGGTCGTGTAGTTCATGATTGCAACATCCAGTATCGATTAAACTGTCGATAGCAAGATATGTGATAGCGAAATGAGGATGATGCGATGGTGCGACGATGCGTTAACGATGGTCAAATAGCAAGGAAGAGATAGTGAACATTGCTTCATCGTCATTGAATCATCACTATCGCCTCATCGTCAACGTACCAGCATTATCGCGCCATCGACCCTTCAGCCGATTATCGATGATGCGATAGTTACTACATGACCCTATCCGAATTCCATAATATTCTCCGTAAATGATAAAGAATTTACAATCCAAGTACCACGCACATCTCCGAAAGTATAAATGAACGATCAATTTTCATAATAATGGAAACCTTTACTTTCTTGAAAACTGTGGAAGATTATCCGGACAATGATGTACTTTACATCACTATTGACAAATAGTGACCATATTTTCCTCATCAAATCAAAATCAATGAATATGCACATCTGTTATATACGTATAATTGATCTGCAAAATCTTGAAAACTGGTCTAAAATTTATCCGGACAAATGGTTATCCTCTGGTAGCCGCCAGCCTGTCCGCTATCAAAACCGGTCAGAAAATACGTTCTACAAAGTATTGGTGGCCCTCCACTTTTGTTCGATATGTATGTCAAACGAAAAACAACTATAATAGGATTTTATTTACACTGTAGCTTGTTCTATTTTTAAACACATGTACACATACACAATATTAATGTAATAAAATTTTATTGCTATAAAATGTGCATGTATCAGCACCGTATAAAATACGTTATTACATATATATAAAAAAGTAAATTATAAATAAGCAATCATGTATAATTTCTATAAAATGACAAATACAATGAGTTTACTTAGAGCACATGCTAACAAAGAGAAGTACTCCTGCAATGACGTAAAAACAGCCACCGACAGCGGCCAGGGCGAAGGCCCAGTCTAAGTTATCCGTGTCTTTATTGGAGCCAAAAATGATGACACCCAAAAGAATAACACCCCCTGAAATGTAAAAATAAGTCAAAATGAAAAAACATATTGCATAACAGGCACCTAGCACCCTTTATATTAAGAGGGTATGAATCATTGAATCAAGCTATTTCAGAGAATTTGTGAAAAAAGAACATGCGCGCAAGTGGAGGGAGGGGTCAAAGGGGGGCAATCAAAGAGGGGCGGAGGGGGGGGGGGGGCACTAAGAGTTATGTTATAAAATTTAATTGTAAAAGTTTCTTGAGATATCGCCCGGAAATGAAACATACAGAATGTCTAAATTTTCTACCTTGACCTTTGACCTTTTGAGCCATAGGGAGTTGTGGTATAAAATTTCTTAGCTGCAGATCTGTAGCGTTATGGTTTTATATATTTGTCTTTGACCATAAGACACTATGTAAAACCATAACGCTACAGATCTGCATCTAAAAATTTCTCTGCAAAAACAGACAGAAATTATTACATTGACCTTTGACCCTAAAATCAACTGTCTTTCTTTAAGCCATAGGAAGTTGTTAGGTAAAAATTAAATGGAAATTTTAAAGCTGATACTGGGTGGAAACAAAAAACTGGTGTTATAAACAAAAATACTGGCAGACGGACGGACGGACGGACGGACAGATGGACTTAATTTAATATCTCCCTTCAGTGAAAGAAGGAGACAAAAAAGACATTAATTAAAATAATGTGTCAGCCCCTTCCCCCTTCGTTCTACGTGTGTATGTACGCAAGAATACATGTTTAAAAATATGAATTGCGTTTCACTTATTTTTCATTTGACATATATTTTACTGCTCAAATGACTGCTTTTTTACAACAGAACCTAAGAATAAGACCAAAATGTACTTTGAATTTTTATTGAATTATCAATTCTGTAAGATACATGTATTAAAGTAAATTCTGCTTCAGTTATTGGCCTTAGTCAAAAGTCTTTGGCTAAAAGGGACCCTGGGTCAAAAGTTCTGTGAATATATTCACCAAAGGTCATTTTCACCTATATGTCATTATCATCCACAAGAACATAATCTATTATATCAAAACAAATTAATCCTAGCATTGTGAAAGCTTTGACATTGAATTACCTGTTCCTAGCGTAATGATGGCAGTGAGAAGGGCCACGATTTTATTTCCGGCAGTCTTTGATACACACACATACAACAGAAGGAAAACAAGTCCGACCAGGGCGGCTACCAGTCCTATCGCCTCGAACACTCTCACGGACTCAAACCAGTCGGGGACTGAAACAAACAGAACATAGATTTAACAGTTACACAAATGACAATGCTTCTTTCACAAGTTACTTATCTAGCTTTATGACAAGCATAACACCAAAATTTATTTCAATAAAATTTTTGGGAAGACACAAGTATACAATCTTATTATCTCCTCGCTATGGATTGCATATAGTAATCATTGTTGGACCCCCCCTTTTACAAATTCCTGGATCCGCCTATGTAATGGGCTTGTTCAGTGTAATTGTGGGTGAGGGTGTGTGTTTGTTTGTCCTTGTGAACGCACCGTAATTTGCATCTTGATTGATATGGTATTTTGCGAGGGATACTCCGTTTTGCGGTGCCCATGTTAATAAAAAATTCTTCCATATATAAAAATTATTTTTAAGTATTACATGCATACGTTTACTATAGATTTATTCAAGTTCATTTACATTGCAATGCAGAAGAACATAACATATCAAGATATGTGCTGTCGTTTATCTATCGGGCGAATCTTATTTTATTTTCAGTGTGCAAAAATTCACACAGTCCCGCGATGTCCCTATGTGTTCCCTATGATGTGTATCTGTAATAAAAACTGTAGTTAGAGCAGTTAGACAGAGAAACGGCATATTTTTATCCCATAATTCATTTAGCCTTGGGCTAATTGATGTTTCTTAATTCATAACCATGTGGGTAAACCTATTGCGTAGTACCATTTGCTTTCATGCTGAATTTTCTGGAACATCGCATGTGTGACGACCTATCTAATAATCATATAAAGAAGTTGTATATGTTCTTATTATAAATTGTCATATACTTAAAACAATCCCTGGCATGCTTCAGTTGAGAGCAGAATTCGTAATCGTTTTATCTTGAACAACACTCGAGTACTTGTATGTGATGAACAATATGTACAAACCTCGTGTTAGAGAGAGAGAGAGAGAGAGAGAGAGAGAGAGAGAGAGAGAGATATCTATGTCTCAAAGACATCATGTAATCACTGGCCATTGAAAATTGTAAATTAATCAAATACTCGTGTACATAACTTAATACTGAAGAAGGATTTTACTTAATTGTCTATACACCTTTCACAGGGTTACTTTAATGCTAAAGAATTTGTCTCCAAAATTTAATTATGGAAATGGACAATTTAATTGGCTCGGAGTATGAAAGTAAAAATTATTCTTATGAACATAATCATGATAATGAACAACAGAATTTCTTACAATTTTTTTTCTATTTTTTGCCCATTGGTCCTATGGATTTTTTTGTCAGTGGCGCCTCCGTAATTTCTTCCTTTTAAACAGACACCTAGCTATTCTCTTCGAGGTTAACCTTCGCATTTGTTTAACTCATTACTCCAGTGAACGTGTAGCACATTCTTCCTGTGTGAATGTTTTTGTTTCCATGCTCGGACAGTGAAATGTTATTAAGACGCCAACGCCCTAATCGCGGCCATATTTCATACAACTTAATATTTCTAGCAAGACGCCAAATCGCTTTCGTGTAATTTTTGCATAAAGGGAGGGGGGGGGGGGGGTTAACGTATAAAACTTTGGCATCCTAAATCCTCCATCATCATGTATACTGTAGTGTGTTTCGAGCAGCCAGTTAGATTTTTTAACACTTAAACTGAATGAAAAACGCAGTAAAGTCCACAGTTAAGACTGTATAATTGATCAGTATGTTTCCTTCTGAAATTCAGTCCAGCATCAACGCTGCCTGTAGTTGAACAAATTCTTTTTATTGATGCATACATGCTGCATGCTTTTAAATATTTATTAAATTTTGAGTTACTTATAAATTTTTGTGTTCTAATGTAAAAATCTGAGATAAGCGAAATAAAAAATAAAAACTTACGAAAAGTGTCCTTCCCCACATCATCTAGATCAGTGTAATATTTGCAGCCATCGAGTCCCAAAAATGCTCCACACCGCTGCCACAAACCACCGTGTCCCCCCAATATGAACTCCTCCCAATAAGGGGCACCAAATCCCACGACAAACAGTAGAAACCCGAGTCCGATGAAGACCGAGGCCACCTTAGAGGCTGCTGGGGCGTTTCCACCGGCCATTTTTCGTTCACTGCGAGTTACACACAGATTGAGGAATATATTGGAGCGGGCGTGGGAGTGCGAGTGAGTAAGACACACGCGGGAAAAAAAAAACGTTTATTACGACGCCATGATTGGGATAGGGTCTCCACCTCTCGTTGTTTTATAGTATTCGTAGTATTTGATGACAAATTGTCACATAATATAAAAACATCCTCATTCGTAATTGTCAAGAGAGTACATTGCCAGCTGTTCACAGAAATGCATCTTTTCGTCGCATTTTGTTTTATTTTTTCAAGTTACATAAATTATTCTGCTGTTAAATATGTGCGATTTATTGTGATTGATAAATGCTAATTGGGAATATTATAGAGATCGAAGCGAGAGAGGGAGGGAGTATTTATTGAATGATACATGTCAATGGGGTGTCAAATAGCGGTCAAATCTCGTAAAAACAACGAACTTCCGATAAATAGGGCGTCTGCAGGTCTGTGGTATTAACCACTAATGCAGCCTGTGTAATATGATGGTTTATGTTAACTCTTCTGTAGGTTAATATCGTAGCGTTGTCACCTGTACTTCTTAACAATTTCTTGTACCTTGGACATTGCTCATAGAAACTGCAGTATTCACTGCCTCTATGTGAGTGGCTGTGTGTCAGGGTATGTGGGTGTGTCTGTATGTGTGCATGGGAGTGGTCAATGAAATACGTATGACGTCGCGCACAGAATTGGGGCTTATTTTGTAACGTCAAAATATACTTTTTTAACATTATTGTATGCGTCGTTTAAGGATGTACAACACACCTACCCCAAAAAATTCCTGTCGTTTAATTTTCGTTATTTTTGTATATTTAGTACATGACTATATCTACTGCATGTATGCATATTTTGGACAAAATCGTTCGAGTGGTTTTTGGACAGGAACTTCCGAAAGTTACCCCCCTTTAGTTGTTTACAAGGAGGGAAAATTTTTAATCAATGAACTACTTAAACCTTGATTTTCAAAAAAAACCAGGTTAGATATAAATGTCAAATTTCATTGGCTTATTCCTTTAACCATTTAACACAAAAACATAGTCATCTTTTTGATATACATATCATCAAAACAATTTGTAAAGACCTTAAACTGAAAAACTATGAATTTTCTAAGCCTTGAAAATTGCGTATTTTTCAAATTCAAATTTTTTTTGTGAAAAAACCTGTCGTTTAATTTTGGTAAAAAACTTTCTTTAGGTAGCTGGTGGTAAAAATAATCTTCACAATTTTTTGTATAATTTTTGTACGACCAGTTTTGATTTAATAGCGGAAATTTACCCCCTCCCCTTTCTCAATAAATCACGTTCCCGCGCTTCTTTTAGACGGGGTCAATCACTTTGTTACATGAATCTACAAATACACATTTTAAAAAATTAAATTGGAATATTGCTTTTGCTTGAAAAATACAATGAAGTGCATTGAAGTGGTAAAATTTTCCATTTGGACGAAACGTTCTGAGTCATGTTTTGAACGTCAATTATAACATAACGACACGCCCATTTCTTTAGAAACGAGAAAGCAATATTCGTCGTAATGTTTTAGGACACTACACTTTCCGCGACAAGCAACACGAGTTACACTGAAATGAAGATTTTTAAATAAGAAAGAGCTATGTATAAAGTTCCCGCTTATGTAAAACACGCATTGCAACGGTTTTGTTCATTTTATGATTTTATCATGTTGATTGGAGTTACTATAACACATGTATACACGGTGTCGAACACGTGCTTACTCGGTGTTTATGTAGACCGTCAATTTCATTGGCTATTATATTTATAAAATACCTGTTCTACAGGTATTCGATTGAATCATTTGACCGAATTTTCCTTTCTAAAGAAATGGGCGTGTCTAAAGGTAGCTCAAAACGTTCCATCCAAACAGAAAATTTTACCACTTCAATGCGCTTCATTGTATATTAACTTACAAATTTAAAAATTCTCATATGTAAAGCATATTTAAATGTAGATTTTTAGGCAAATTTTGAATACCCCTATCACCCCACCCCTTCCTTTTTTGCGTCGCAGACCATTAGCGTTTGACGAAAAGTCGTTCTGATATACTGGTATTTCGTCAGGAATCCCGGTATGCATTAATTTTTAAATTCATGAATGCAGAATAAATATTGACTACTCTTTTTATATGTATCAGGAAAAAATTACTGAAAGATTTTAGTGTTTAGTCCATATACGTATGCGTTATGCATTCCATATCACATGAAACCTGGATACGAATTCAAGTTTTGTTGAACTTGAATATGTTGATTTTTGATTTTATTTCTTTAATTTTATTCATTAAAAAATTGTATATGTTCAACTCTCCTGTGATATAAATGGAATAATTGTAATTTCTTTCATGTCATTATTTTCAAACGAGACAGTATATGGCCGTGGGGATACATCGGCATTAGCATTAGATGTACACCCCTCATGACATTATACGCATTTCTTTCAATGTCGTGTCGCTTCTAAAGTTAAAATGAAAATTCCGTATTCGTCCACATTAACTTCAAAATATCAAACATTAAACTCTTCATCTATTTCAATTTATATCAAATCGCACATTGATATTTTTTAAAATCTTATAGGCTACGTTTTGTTTTGATTCGAGGAAATGCGAACCGACATTGTTGACAGAATGTCAAAGTTACGATTAGCTGCAATAGGATATTCATAATGATAAATGCAGATAACTTCAGTACAAGTGAACAATTCTTTTCAATTCTATACTTATATTGTGTATATGAGGTCTATAGTATTCAATTCTCGGATTTATCAGGTCTTGCTGTAAATGTATCTGCTTCTGTTGAAAACCGTGAATAAAGGGAGGAAAATAAACATCTCCTACATTTTCAGAGTTGTTCCTCTTTGATCAGTAAGGATCTGAGAACAACATCGATTTTATCATTGTAAAAAGTTTTTTGTTTATTTATTGTTGTTTTAGAGAAAAACAATATTTATATCGTGTATGTACAAATTGTAATGAAGACCATTAATCGGAATATTATATAGCTAATTGTACACAATGAGAATTTCGGCAATGTAAAATATAATTTTCTGAATTAAAAAAATGCTGCGCTTTGATCAAAAATACAATTTATTGTATATGAAATGAAATGAAATAAACATTAAGGGTTGGTATTTTATGTCTTGCTTTTTACGGAGTTTAATCGGGTTAATTAAAAAAAAAACTTTTGGATTGAGTATGGTACGCACAATCACAGCCAAGCCCCATATCGCAATATTTTCTTTCATGATTGATATACATCGGGATCGTTTTACTCGTCGTTTTGACGCTTTATTTTTGACGTTAAATTTGACGTAACGTCAAACGTTCAATTGAAATCGCAAGAGTTATCTCCCCCAGTGTGTTGTACGTCTTTAAGCGTAAAAACGTCAAAAATTTGAGGCGTAACAAATTAGACTAGATATCCAAATTTTGCTCCTGCTTTCTTAAAAATGTCTTCTTTTTTTAGTGTTTCTAAATACAAAATTTTATTCATTTGCACATTTTAAAAATAAGGTTTTATCTGTTACAAGTTTTCCCAATAAATAGAAAATACAGCTCATATCGGTGCTATACGCCTGCTTAAATACCATCATACGCATATCTGTATCGTAGTAACAAAACTGACTAGACATCAAAATCGCTCTATTAATCTCTCTTACTAATTGCTAATAATTTTTCGTGGAAATTTTGACTGCTTCTTGATTTGCACATTTCATTAACGAAAATAACCTGTTATATAGTAAAAATACATACGGTACAACCTAATTAATTTTCTCTCGACACTGTTTTTCTTTAGCTTCTCCGAAGATTTGCCGCACTTTCGTAGATTTAGAAATGGGTATTAACCATTAAATATGTTTAAATGCATCAAGGAAAATACAATGTAGTTTGATTCATAAGATATTACTGGCAAGTAGGATCGCAGCAGTATTTTTAATACTCAACTACAAACCATACACTGACAATTAATTCATGTACTGTAGTACTGGAATTTCTGTCTTCAAAAACCGAGAAAAAAAATGCATTATATACTAACAATGTTTGTAAGTATGGTGTAACATTTAAAAAATAAGGAAGGAAATTTAGGAGTCTGAAATAACATTTACAATTCAAATATTACACAAGGAAAAGCAACATATTTTCACAGGATTTCTTCCTTGTATCATCAGTTCAACCCCCCCCCCTCCCCATTGAATCCCTTTGATATTTCTTGTACAGCCATTAGTAGTACATGAAATAGTGAGGAGACCCACTGCCAGCACAGCTTAGAATTTTAGCAAAAAGAAATCACAGACAAGTGATGAATTAAACAAATGGATTGAGTTTTTCACATCGAAATGTAAAACAAAAAAAAAGTCCTATACGGAGCCAGGCAAGCGCCAGTAAGCACTGTTGTTGATAGTCAGAAGTTTGCATAAAGACTGAGAAGCAGAATGTTACGAGGGGTGATCAAAAAGTTCCGCAAACTAATTGAATAACTTCCATACAAGAAACAATATTTGGTTTTAATGTTGATTATATTTTGAATTAATCCTCCCCGATTTTAATGCACATCAACCACCGTTCTGCGCATGCGCATATCACGTGATATTGGCGGTCACGTGACCCCCTCCGTAGCGTTCTGTCACAAAAGTTGAAAGATTTTTCTGAGTTTTATATTTCTTTCCATGTGAGTTAATTTTTATGACAAGAACAGTTCATTTGTCAGAAATGGTCATATCTCGGCAACAGAATGGGTGGATAATAATATCCTTTCCAAAAATAAGCATGGCGACCATTAAAACACAAATCTTCTGTCTCAGGAGAGACCTTTATTCAAGGTGGATAGAGAATGGGTGCATCCTTTTTATCATATCTAATATGTTTAAAATCTAAAGTAAACGATATCTTAGGTATTTATTATTTAATACTTATATCATTGTTCAAATATTCAACTATTTTTCAAAGTGCTAACTGGAGGTCTTTGATTGCAAATTGCTTAATTAAAAATACATATCTTTTCAAACTTGCTTTCACTGGGCAAGATGACAAATATCATTTTTAACCATCAGCCTTCCTTCACTAAAACGATTAATCCAATCATCAACTGAATTTATAGGAACTAATTTATCTCAATAAACTGTCTACAAATTATTATATGATACTGTAGAGGGATTTCTAAGATATACA